TGGTCACTTTTCCTTTCACGTTTTAATTTTGTTATTTCTTACAGACCAGGCACTTAGAATAATAAGGACGATGCTCTCTCTAGATCAGGGGTAGTCAACCTTTTAATACCTACATCCTACTTTTGTATTTTTGTTGATGGTAAAATTTCCTTACCGCCCACCCCAGTGGATAAAATTTCCTTACTGCCCCAGTAACTCATTTTATAGCGCAAGTGCAATTTTAAACAATTTTTTTTTTTAGAGATGAGGATTTTCTTTAAAATAATGTGTGTCTGTGAGGTTCTGTGCGCGTGAATGGTGCTGTGTGCTTATGTGTGAAGAGTGTAGTGTGTGTGTGAAAGTGCAGTGTATGTGTGTGAGGGGTGCTGTATGTGCGTAAGAGGCGCTGTATGTGGGTGAAAGGTGCAGTGTGTGTGTATGTGTGTGTGAGATGCTGTGCATGTGTGAGGGGTAGTACATGTGTGAAGGGGGCTGTGCGTGTGTGAGGGGGCAGTGTGCGTGTGAGGGGGGCAGTAAGTCTGAGGGGTGGAGTGTGTGAGGTGGCAGTCTTTGTGTGTGAGTGAGGGGTGTAGTGTGTGTGGGAGGGGGGCAGTCTGTGTGAGGGAGCAGTGTGTGTGTGAGGAGGACAGTGTGTGTAAGGGGTGTGTGTGAAGGGTGCATAAGGTCTATGCTTTGTGTGGGTGTGTGAAATGTAAAAATCTATATTAATTTCTCCTCCTCCCTTCTTTTTACCTTTTACCAGGGAGGGGGGACATAATGCTGCAAGCCCTGGTGGTCCAGTGGTGGCATGTTCACTTTACCCTGCAGCTCCTCTGGCTTCAGACTGACACTGCTGTCTTCCTGGGGGCAGAGCACTGTATTAGAGCATTGTCATGGTAACACACGGCAACGATCTGACCGTCCTGTTCGCGGGAGGAACACAGAGCCTCCCTCTGCTGGAACTAAGTACCAGCGGGCCCGTGTGGGAGATCTTTGATCTCCTCACCAGCCCGAGAGGGCTTACAGCAAGGCTGACTCTGCATGGGCTGGCAGTTGAGATGAAAGGAGATGAAAAGTGGGCGGTAGGGACCAGGTTGACTACCCATGGTCTAGACATTATGATACAGATGAGTTTCCAGACCAAAAGACATCTCCTGTCATAGGAGTGACTTATTGCTTCTACAGTTTCGGAATTGAAGCCATCTCATAAACTATTTGTCTCACCATCACAGAGATCTGAGATACTCCGAATATACCATGATAACGTAACAGCTGGACATCCTGGTATACACAAAACCCTCTCTGCCATTACTAGAAAGTTTTGGTGGCCGTCGCTTAGAGGTGATGTCAGGGATTATGTGGGAGCATATAGAATTTGTGCTGTGTCCAAGGTTCCCCACAAATCACCTCCTGGGTTGTTACAGCCACTTCCAATACCAGACGCTCCATGGACACACCTGGCCATGGATTTCATTGTTGTTCTCCTAAGTTCTAATGGGTATAAAACTATCCTTATGGTAGTGGACCATTTCTCCAAGATGGCACATTTTATACTTCTCAAAAACCTGCCATCTTCCCAGGATCTTGTCCAAGTATTCTTATGTGAACTCTTTAGGCTACATGGGTTACAGAAAAACAGTCTCTGACAGAGGTACCCAATTTATTTCCAGATTTTGGCGTGCTTTCTGCAAACACTTCGGCATAGAACTTTCTTTTTCCTCTTTTGTACCACCCTCAGACCAATGGGGCGGCAGAGAGAGCCAATCAAGCCTTAGAGTCTTATTTACGTTGCTTTATTGATGCCAGTCAGACTAACTGGTCAGAACTCCTGCCCATGGCTGAATTTGCTAGAAACAATGCAACCCACAAGTCCTCTACTCTCAGTCCCTTTTTTGTAAATAATGGTTATCACTGTATTACCTTCTGATTTTTCAGAAACTGACATTCCTGCTTTAGACATCTGTTTGGCCTCTATCCATGACGCTTGGGCTTCGGTACACCAGAAGTACTAAAGTTCAGACAGACAAGCGGCGTGGTGCCAATCCTGTCTGTCAAGTTGGGTACAGGGTCTGGCTTTCCACGCGTCATATCAAATTGAAAGTACCTTCCATGAAACTGGCGCTTCGCTTTATAGGTACTTTCCAAGTCCTCGGCGCATTAATCTTGTGTCGTACTCTCTTGCCCATCCTGAACATTTGCAGATATTGAACACATTCCATATGTCTTTGTTGAAACCGCTTACATGCAACCGGTACACTTAACAGTTTGTACCTCCTCACCTTCTGGTTGTTGGAGGCAAGGAGGAATACAAGGTCCATTCCATACTGGATTCCAGGGTGTCTAGGGGTGTTTGGTCTTATTTGGTAGATTGCAAAGGATATGGACCTGAGGAACGTTCTGGGATCACTGCTGATAGAGTCAATGCTCCTCTTCTTGTCTGGTCATTCCACAACTGGTTTCCTGACAAGCCTGCTCCTTCCCAGGCAGACAAGCAGCATGGTGCCAATCCTGTCTGTCAAGTCTTTGAGTAGGGGTACTGTCACAGCACCCGGCTCGCGGCTGCACATGGTCGCACTCAATCGGTGCGACCACACTGACAGGTTGGAAGATTTACCTGTTCAGCAACAAGCCGGGAGCCGACCCACTGGGGCATTGGTCCCCTGCACATGTGGGAGCCAAAATGGCACCGACCAAGAGGTTGTGGCCATTTGTACAGGGAGTGCAGAATTATTAGGCAAGTTGTATTTTTGAGGGTTAATTTTATTATTGAACAACAACCATGTTCTCAATGAACCCAAAAAACTCATTAATATCAAAGCTGAATATTTTTGGAAGTAGTTTTTAGTTTGTTTTTAGTTATAGCTATGTTAGGGGGATATCTGTGTGTGCAGGTGACTATTACTGTGCATAATTATTAGGCAACTTAACAAAAAACAAATATATACCCATTTCAATTATTTATTATTACCAGTGAAACCAATATAACATCTCAACATTCACAAATATACATTTCTGACATTCAAAAACAAAACAAAAACAAATCAGTGACCAATATAGCCACCTTTCTTTGCAAGGACACTCAAAAGCCTGCCATCCATGGATTCTGTCAGTGTTTTGATCTGTTCACCATCAACATTGCGTGCAGCAGCAACCACAGCCTCCCAGACACTGTTCAGAGAGGTGTACTGTTTTCCCTCCTTGTAAATCTCACATTTGATGATGTACCACAGGTTCTCAATGGGGTTCAGATCAGGTGAACAAGGAGGCCATGTCATTAGATTTTCTTCTTTTATACCCTTTCTTGCCAGCCACGCTGTGGAGTACTTGGACGCGTGTGATGGAGCATTGTCCTGCATGAAAATCATGTTTTTCTTGAAGGATGCAGACTTCTTCCTGTACCACTGCTTGAAGAAGGTGTCTTCCAGGAACTGGCAGTAGGACTGGGAGTTGAGCTTGACTCCATCCTCAACCCGAAAAGGCCCCACAAGCTCATCTTTGATGATACCAGCCCAAACCAGTACTCCACCTCCACCTTGCTGGCGTCTGAGTCGGACTGGAGCTCTCTGCCCTTTACCAATCCAGCCACGGGCCCATCCATCTGGCCCATCAAGACTCACTCTCATTTCATCAGTCCATAAAACCTTAGAAAAATCAGTCTTGAGATATTTCTTGGCCCAGTCTTGACGTTTCAGCTTGTGTGTCTTGTTCAGTGGTGGTCGTCTTTCAGCCTTTCTTACCTTGGCCATGTCTCTGAGTATTGCACACCTTGTGCTTTTGGGCACTCCAGTGATGTTGCAGCTCTGAAATATGGCCAAACTGGTGGCAAGTGGCATCGTGGCAGCTGCACGCTTGACTTTTTCTCAGTTCATGGGCAGTTATTTTGCGCCTTGGTTTTTCCACACGCTTCTTGCGACCCTGTTGACTATTTTGAATGAAACGCTTGATTGTTCGATGATCACGCTTCAGAAGCTTTGCAATTTTAAGAGTGCTGCATCCCTCTGCAAGATATCTCACTATTTTTGACTTTTCTGAGCCTGTCAAGTCCTTCTTTTGACCCATTTTGCCAAAGGAAAGGAAGTTGCCTAATAATTATGCACACCTGATATAGGGTGTTGATGTCATTAGACCACACCCCTTCTCATTACAGAGATGCACATCACCTAATATGCTTAATTGGTAGTAGGCTTTCGAGCCTATACAGCTTGGAGTAAGACAACATGCATAAAGAGGATGATGTGGTCAAAATACTCATTTGCCTAATAATTCTGCACTCCCTGTAGCTTCGACTCCAAAAATCATTCAAATTTCCCTAGCTCATTGCCCTGTCGTGGTTTCTGTTCCTGGTTCCCGAGAGTGCGTTTTCTTGTCCTTGATATTGATATTCCCGGTATTCTGACTTTGGCTGTTCCTGACTATTCTGATCTCTGGTTTCCCTGACATGTTTTTCTTATCGATCTTGTGCATTTCTGGCTTCCTTGACGTCGGCTTTCCCTTGCCCATTCTCTATCTTTTAATGTATTATTTCCGGCCATACTAAGGACCGGTTTATGTTCTATTTTTCTATTCTATGTAGAGGTTACCTAGTGTTGCGTGGTGGATCACATTAGTAGTCGTGACACCATGCAGCCATTGGATAGGATTTCAAATAATACATGTATACTTCCTCAACAGAAGATCAATAATTCAATAATAATAACAATAATATTAAAATGTCCTAGACATAGCCCTTGCCCTTAAATATTGCATATCCACTTATATTGCATGTTGCCATGCAAAATATCCAGATAAACACATGCAATATTTATTTTCTTCTGTTGATTCATTTGGGGCTCAGTTAATGAAGTGCAGCAATGGTTCAGTGTTGCATATATTTCTGCTAACATCACAAAAAAAAGGAGGACTGCACTTTTCCTACTTGGTATACAAGTGGATGTCTTAGAGATGCCACCATATGATCTTTATAATTTTATAGTGATTGATATATTGAACAAATAGGAATAAATGCTAAAGAAAGACATTCTAATGATGCTAATCAGAAAGTTCTCAAACATAAATGTATGGTATGTAAAGCTCAAATACATAATTTGGCAGGTTCTCATGGTGAACAAGTAGTGTGTCTGGCTACTTTGGCCCTAAATTTAAAATTCGCTCTGGAATCCTGATAATTCTCACTCTAGTAAATACTCATGTTGCAGTTTTGTGCCCACTAAAACTGCACAAATCACTACTTATTCACAAATTACACATCACCCTTTGATTACCAATTCACAAATATCTCTTGCACCAGCCCAGGCAAATGAGTAATAGATCCAGTCTTAATCAAAAGTATTTAACAAGTATTGAAAACAGGTTTATTGTCAAAATTTATAGACTTTCAGCTGTTTGCAATGAACAAATCAAACAAAAACATTTGAAAGAGCACACAGATGCTTTTCTCAAACTCAACTGAAAATGCAACTTTTAATGACTTCTCCAGTTTCAAAATTATTCAACCCCCTGATAGAAAGCATCTTTAGTATTTCACAGAGCACCCCTTTGCAGTTATGGCCTGCTGCAGACTAGATGCATAGCCAGACACCAGCTTCTGGCAGCATTCCTGTGGACTTTTAGCCCATTGCTCACAGGCAATGGCCTCCAGTTCAGTTATATTCTTGGGTTTGTATGCCGCAACTGCCTTCTTAAAATCCCACCAGAGATTTTGCATAGGGTCCAAGTCAGGTGACTGTGATGGCCACAATTTTCAAGGACTTCTTCTGCAACCAAGCCTTGGTGGAATTTGAGGTATGCTTTGGATCATTGTCTTGTTGGAGGGTCTAATGAAGGCCAAGCTTCAGCTTCATCGCAGATGACATGAAGCTGTCGTCTAGGATTTCCTGATACTTCATTTAATCCATTTTGCCTTCCACATGCTACAGGTTTTCAGTGCCAGTGAATTCAAAACAACCCCAAAGCATCACTGAATCACCACTACACTCAACTGTGGGCAGAGTGTTCTTTTCAGCATATGCTTCATTCTTTTTCTTCCAGACATACCGCTGATTCATTGGGCCGAAAAGATCCAGTTTTATTTAATTGCTCCACAGAATCCTCAAATTTATGTTGCTTATCTATATGATTTTGAGGATATTGGAGCCAACTTTTCTCGTGCTTTTGAGTTAGTAGTGGTTTATGTGTTGGAGTTCTTTCATGGAAACCTTTGGCTTTTAGTGTGTGCCTTACTGTTTACTGAAACCTCAGTGCCTGTTGCCGCCAAGTCTTGCTGAAGGTATTTTGCAGTCACGTGAGGGTTTCTCAGGCTTCTCCGAAATCTGGTTGCAGCCATTGATAGCTTTCTTTTTCTGCCCTGTCCAGGTCGTGTAACCACTGTTATTTTAACTTTGAACTTGCGAACTATGCTTCGAATGATGTCCATTGTAACATTGAGTGCCTTCACGATTAGGATCATGTTCTGTGTTTGTGAAAGGCAATGATCTCTTTTCTCAACTTTGTGGACCATTCTTTTGATTAGCCATATTTCTAACTTGCAGTCAAACGTGACGTCCAACAAACCTCTAGTCAGTTCAGGTGTTTCAGTTCAAGTTGTTCACACCCGGTGCAACTACTGAAGCCTTTGATAAGTTGCATCAGGTGTGCTTGAGACAGCACCAGTTCTACATATTTGTTCTGCATATTTTGTTAAGCAGAATTTTTAGTTGAAATTGGGGAAACCACTTGAAGCATTCATTCTGTTGAGTTTTTGCTTTTGTTTGATTTATTTGCAAACAACTGAAAGTCTGTTCCTTTTGACAATAAACCTGATTTTTAATGGTGGTTTAGTAATTTTGATTACAACTATATAGCGTTTGGGAATGTAAACCATTTGAAGGTGATAAATACATGTTATGCTCCCTCTGTCTATTAAAAATGCAATGTCGATTTGGTCAGGCAAGTGGTGATCTTAGAAATGTTTTCATTGAATTTACAGTAAATGTTAACGTATGCTATATGTTAGTTAAGAATGGCAAAGCATGATTTTCCATTTGGAGTATCCTGCCTAATTTTGAATATGGTTGTCAATTCAATTTGTAATAAGGGAATTAAGTATCACTCTTTAATTTTCTTTCTTTTTTACTGTGACTTGGACAGAGTGCAATACAATTTTGAATGTTGATACACAGTGGTTTTACTTAATTCAATAGTGATTTGTGGAGAAATGAAAAGGAGTATCCAAAAATACCCATTATAGAAAAATCATCCCATGTACCTTTCAATCTGTGGTATGTTGACCTATGTTGATCAGGGTTTCTATTTTGACCGGTGGTCTACAAACAAAATGCTCTCTAAGCCTGGACTGGCTCACTAAAATGTTCTGTTTTTGTTTTTTTGGGTGGTTATTGTAGTTTGGAATGACAGTGCCACCAAAGTATGACAGGTATGTATAGAGCAGAGATGTTTACAAGTGGATGCAGGGTGAGATAAGGTGAGAAATTGTTGAAGGTTGAAGGATGAAGGTTGCAGGTATATTAAATGTCACAACTAAATTATCCAGTTGCCTCCGTCCCTCAAACCATGTATTGTAGTGCGAGTAGGATAATACACACAGAAATTTAGAATTTTCATGTGCAAAAAAGAATCTTTGCACTTGCCCTTCAGGTTTTAAGTAGCCATCTCTCCCCTACCAAGGTTTGTGAAATATGTGCATGCATGCAAAATATTATAAACAGTGCTTGTAAAATTGTAATAAATATAATTGTAGCCCAAGGAGCAGCGCAGCTAAGTGGAATGGGCCTTGACATGACTAAGAGACAGGCATAGGAGGGGTAAGTGTGGGGGTTTGGTTGTAGAAAGTGGGGGTGGAGTTTTTGGGCAATGGGAGTATATATAGTAGCCATTTTAAATTAAAGGGCCATCTTAATTAATCCTCACCTGCTTTGAACAGGTGGTGTGGTGTCTCGTTCTTGTGTCTTTCAGGTGCTGCTAACTTGAAGAATGTAAGATTGGCTGGCTGGTGTTCGTGCTGCAGTCCAGAGGAGAGGTGTTGCCTGGCTCCAGGAGCGGTTGCGAAAGTCCCCGGTCCCGTCCACTGTTGCAGGGTCCACCGCGACGGCCGGGGTGAGGCCTGGACAACCGGCTCAGAGGACTCGGCCGCAACATTTAAGCCCTGGAGATTGACCCTCGGTGCAGAGGGGGGTGAGCCCATCCCTGGCCGGTAGGAAGCCCCGGAGGTCACAGCCGGCATCGCCATGTGGCTGCTCGCACTGTGCGGATGCCTGGAGCCCATGCTTCAGTGTTAGGCGCACGGGCAACGGCGGGGTCCCCTGTAGCTAGTAGATGGGTCTCCCTTTACCCTGGCAGGTCACGGGAGCAGAGCATATCCCCTGGGTCGCCTCACGGATTGCTGTCACAGTCACCAGGTGGGAGCCGGGTAGCCCGCAGTGGGATAGGAGGCTGGTATTCAAGCAGATCTCCTGTACGAGTGGGCTATAACGGCCGCACTCAGGAAAGGCATGTTGGATCCATGGGGGCGCTGATAGGCACAGGACGCAGGATAGGTCTCGGAGCGGATATAGGGACCAGAGGCGCAGCCATGGCAGTGGATCACCCAGGGATCCAGGTCGAGGAGGTCGCCAGGGTTCCCCTGTTAGGACGACAGAAAGGGAAGGCGAAGCAGGTCAGGTTAATCTGGCAAGAATTCCCCCAGGGGCTATGAGGAAGGAGCGGGGAGGGGCGGTTACGGCCCTAGGGACCATTACGACGGCCACAGCAGGGGATGTGTGAGCAGGGCAAGGTGTGAGAGTAGGCAGGTCAGGAATCGGTCACACGGCCTACCCACTGTGCTTTCTCATTCCAGGTCACCCTCGGTCTGGGTTAGACCTCAGGAAGTGGACCTGCGGCTGGAGGTGCTGTCGCACCTGGACTTGGACATTGGACACCGGGCAGCAGCCTTGCAGCTTTTGACGGCCAGAGGTTCGGATGATGTCTTCTATTAAACAGTCTGGGGATCTTTTCGAGGGTCTCAAATCTTTGCTGGAGTCTTGGAGTGGGGGTTTGGGCAGAAGAGTGCGGGCGCGGAGGCAGTCCCGGTGGGTGGTAGGCAGGGCACTGGGGATCCGGTCGCACCGCCGACAGTGGGGGAATTATCTTAGTTAGGGAGTCAGAGGTGGTTGACCTGGTTGGGGGGATTCCAGACGCAACACGTCAAAATGTCCACGTCTCCGTTGCAGGGCCATTGGGTTGTCACCTCAAGTCCGAGGTAAAAAAGCAGATTTGGAAAGGGGAATTCCTCAAAATCTTTTCTCTTCTCCCTCTTGATGACAATCTGGACATGGAGGAGGATAAAAAGGATGCTAAGAAAGAGTAGGAGAAGCAACGCCACTACCGCAAGATTCCCAAAACTTTGGGGAATTGGTTGGGGGCTTTTTGCATCTTGGCGATTGTCATGGGGGAAAAGCCCCCGACCATTGCTCACAGTTGTTTTGTTATTTGGCCGAAGTTTTGGCGTGCAGCTGGTGAGGATTGCTGGGCCATTTCGGGAACCCCCATTGCGCGATCTTCGGTGATCACCTTGGGGGTGGTGCCAAAGAAGGCAGATTTGGATGTCTGTACGTTTTTTCTCCAGGATTTTAATTGACGAGTGTACTTTTGGGAGCTGGCAGTTTCCTCGTCCAAATTGGATCTGTTCATGTATGCGTTGGGCAGTCTTGGGTTTGGTGCGTTTTTTGCGTTGCGCTGGTGTGCGGAACCATGGCCAGACGAGTGAAAGGCCATTCTCCTCATTCGTAATTTGGCATTCTTGGAGTTCTTCCCCCTTGGTGATGGCCTTTGCGTTATGGGGTCGCCTGTTGTACGACAAAAAAGTTATCTTCTTCACTGACAACATGTCAGTAATGGGTTGTCTGCTTCCTCTATCCGTCATTCGGCTTCTTTGCCGTTTCGTATTGGTTTGCAGGCAGTTCAATGTGGTGTTCTGTGCTCGGCATGTTCCAAAGTTGCAGAATGCTGTGGCTGATTCGCTTTCTTAATTTCAGTGGGAATGGTTCCAGGGAGCGGCAACAGGCACGCAGGAGGATGGTGTGCAATGTATGGAGGAGGTGTGGTGGCTCAGGACCTCTTGCTTGGAGGACTCAAAGGGGTGCTGGCGCCGTCCATCTGGACGGCCTACGAAAATGTTTGGAAAAACTGGGACCAAAGAAAAAGTTACCTGCGCCCTCTACTAAATCCCTATGTATATTTAAACAAATGGAGGTCATTTAATTACTCCGCAACTTCAGAGGTTTGGTCTCAGGGGGGCTGGTGACAGGGGGTCTGTTCTACACTGTTCAGGTTGATTAGTGAAGGTCTGGTGTCTAATTTGGTTTTAATACATGCAGGAGGGAATGACTTGGGGCTGGTTTCTCAGAGAGACTTAATTACCAGGATGAAGAAGGATTTGGAGAGGCTGAGGCAGTTGATCCCTGTCATAGTTGTCATTTGGTCTGAGATGGTTCCTCGGTCGCAATGGCGTCACACCAGGGATCCCAGGGCAGTGGCTAGAGCAGAGGGAAGGTAAATAAGTTGTTGGCTACCTATGTTAGAGGGTTTGGGGGTGTTGTGGTTTGGCACCAAGAGTTGGAAGCGCATCTTGCAGGTTATTATAGGCAGGATGGGGTGCATCTTTCAGACGTGTGTATAGATTTCTTGTTAGGATTTTAGGAGGGTCTGCAGCGGGCTTTGTTTTTGGTGGCGCGCTCAGGTAGTTCGAGCTCTGAGCTGTGGCGGGGATTGGATAAACAAGTTGGGGTGTAGGTTGTTTGTCTAGAACTGTTAGGTTTGGATAGATATTGGTTGGTTCGAGCTCGTCAGTAGCTCCGAACCTGGTGTGTGTAGGGTGTATCTTGGTATAACCCTACATGGTGAAAGATGGAAAATCATGCCCTCAGTGGCAATGGTTTAAGTGGTTAGATGTTATTTATATGTTAATATATGGTAATATTGTTTGTTATGGGGGTCATTGTTAGGGTAGAATTGTTAAAAGAGCTGGGGTTGATCATGTTAAAATATGTTGACCTTTAATAATGTGTTTATTAATAATAAAGCTGTGATAACGTTCTCAAAAGAAAGTGTCTGAGTATTCTTGTTTTGAGGGGGTTAATAACGCATATATCCCGAAAAGGGAACTATGCATATGTCATGTATTTACAATTGGCTTGAGTGGGTGAATATATTGATCTATCTAGTCAGAGTATACAATGGTGCAAAAAGTACAATATGCATTTCTACATGCGGAATTACCATAAGCAAAATTAAGACAATATGAAGAAACAAACAAGGGAGTAAAAGAAAGTCCTTATCAAGAAAATATCCATAAAAGGTGAAATAGATTGTAGTGTTCAAGGAATCAAAGAGCCTGAGATTAAGAGACCCACTGATATGGCCAATGAAGACAGCAGAAAGAAAAACAAAAAACAAAAAAACAAGAAAAGAAAAGAAAAAAAAATTACAATACCACAAAAGATAATGACTGCTGATAGATATAATCAGAAAGAGATGAGGCAAAACATTTTAACTTTATTATAAAGCACATACCATAACCTGTTTTACATATATATTTTTCATAACGGTCTCCTGGTGGATAGCGTAGGTTAAGCCCCATTCATTTTCTACCTTTACTGAGCTCGAGTTATTGTCATCTATGTTGTCATAACAAGATAGTCCTTAAAGACTCTATTGATTGACCTACTCAGCAACATCAATCATCTACTTAACTACCGTAAGCTGGTCACTCTCCATGCCCCATGCCGGCATGTGTCTTGGTAGACAGGCTGGATTTACATCTCAAAAAGAATAAATTGTAAGAATAATGTGAATTATGAGGGCAGTATGTGAATATCATGTATGAATACAGTGTGCAGAGCAATGATGCTGTGTACAGGGTATGAATGCTGTGTGCAAGTGGCAAGTGATACCTGTGTCACTGCACAGTGCAAAGAGAAAGTATAGAGTCCATGATGTGTTAAAAAAATATGGACTAAAACTTGGTGGGTTGTAGGAAGTTACTTCTTGATAGCATTAGCGAGAGTGGTCAAATGAAAGCAGAGCCAAATAAAAATATGTTTGAATAGTGTAACAAACCACCTCTTTTACAGGTAAGATTTTGTCAAAGATCTTATGGTAACCACAGCCTTCTAGGGTAGTCAAAGTCCAGGACACATCCAGTTCAGTTTTCCCGATTTATTTGGTGCAAAATATACAGGTGCTTCAAAATAAAAAATAAACAAAACAAAACTCCTTGCTCTTGTTTGAGCACTTACTAAACACAGTAATCACTATCTGGAATTGGGTGGCTTTCCCACTTACCAATAACAAAAATATACATGCAAGACACACCATTCCTCTGGCTCTTCCTCCCCTCACTCTGCAGTAGGCTGATCCTTTCTTTTAAAAGCCTGCCTGCTAATTGACCAGTAACAGGTGAGTATTAATTAGTTCACGTCTCTGGAATGTCTAAGGTATATACACAAGTCCTGGTCTGGCTGTTACATAGCAGCTAGTGCTATTGGAGCACTGGCCCACCCTGCTCTCCAAATGCTCCGCCCAATGGGCCCTTACCGTGGTTTGCAGAGTACCAGCAATGTATCTTGGAAACCTAACATCTCTCCCTAGGGCATTTAATTAAGAAACCTCAGGCTGCTGTTTAGTAAAGCAGGCCTAATATATCTTCCCTCAACAACCATTCCACATTTTATCTCACACATTCTCCCCACCAGCTCAAACCCATGGGTTTGAGCAACCATGGACATCAGAGAGTATACCCTGGAAAGCCCATCAGCAATGCCTTGTTTTAGACCTTCCCTCCTGTTCAACAGTGAAATGAAACGATTGTAAACTCAGGAACCATTTGGTTACCCTGGAGTTATTCTCTTTGTTCTGACACATCCATGTAAGAGGTGCATGGTCCGTTATCAATCTGAATGTTCTACCCAACAGACATTCCTTCTCAACAATGGGGTAGTCCTTCTCATGTGGGTTTAACTTCCTGCTCCAATAAACATCTCTCCATGGGGCATTTAATTGAGAAACCTCAGACTGCTGTTTTCTCTCACAATAGTATACCCAATTTTAATTGTAAATAACCAGACAAGAAATAAAATAAATAAATCATATACTTAATCTCAAATCAAACAGGTCACTTAAAAAAGCCTGTGAGGAGAAACACATTGCGATTTGCTGGCACTGTTGCACCATTTCTAATTTATCAAAGGTAGGTAGTATTTATCTAGGTAGATAGGGGAGTATACTACCCACACTGTTTCCATTAAGCATACATCTGCTCCTATAAATGCAAATATATTTCCTTCTTGTTTAAAAATAGTGATTAACACAAACAGAGAACACTATATTTATTCTTATTCTGTTTTATATCGTATGATTACTCAATCCCAGCTACATCTGTGAGCAGGGATTATAGCGCTTCATGCCTTTAAGAGCTAAATTGGAAGCTCTTTGTTTGCGAGTGTATTTTTATTCTCTTTTATACCTATAATTTTGATGTTTTCCTGAATTCCAATATTGGATTCCTTTATGTTTGTGTATTATATGTAAGAAGTCCAAGCCTTTTGGCGGTCATATCCACATCTCTGAAAAGTCTCTACCTGATCATCCATCACATATCCTTCGACAAGGATTGTATTGTCAGACACTGATACATGAGAGCTAATAGATAGCTCCTTTTCTGTCAGTGCATTTTTATCTATTTCAAATCATTACCCTTGACCCGTGCAGTGTCACACTATTTTGTGCTTCTTGTTGCTTATTTTCATTCTACATATTATTGAATATATCCAAGTTGGTGAGAACACTAAAATACTATCAAGGTTTTGACTGTATACCAAGAACTACTTGGGACTTTCTATCTATACTATGTAAAACATTATTTGTAGGTATATTATACAGAGTATTAACTATGCTTTACTTTTTACCTGGAAATTCTGAAAGATTTTTGTTTTAAACTCGTGGAAATGTAGGATTCAGTAATACACACCTAATAAAATTATTTGTTTTTATACTGCAGGGAAGGTGCATGTAAATTAGTCTGCATACATATGAATACATTTGCCTAAATTTAATGCTGACCTCGTTCAACTTGGCTTACGATTTATTTATGTAAATAAATTCAGTCATCACCAAGAAAAGCAAGCAAATACCTTAAGGATTGTCTGGTATGACTTAATGCATTATTTCGAGGAGTTGCAAAACTGGAAATGATTAAAACGGGTCTGACAATTAACAAATGCACAAAAAATGCAAAAGTATAGTCATAAGTAGATTGGGAAATTCTTCATGCACATTCCATTCATAAATCAGATTATCACGATTTTACTTTTTAGGGCTACTTTGCAAACTGTTACAAGATTATGACAATGACTTATAAATCCCAAACCTCTACAGCACATCCATAACTCACTATATACAGATTATTGTTTTCTACCTTTTCAAGAAATACAATTAAAAGAATATTGCTTTTCTGCATGGATTTCAGTATTGTTATCTTTTAATAGCCTGGTCTAGTGAGGTAATCATTGCAAGTCTAAATAGGCTTACATATTATTTATTGCTCAAGTAAATTCCAGAATGAATTCCATCCATTTATATATCTTATTGGATACCTCCCAATTCCAGAGTTCCTGAGAAGAATCACATCACTGGCTTTGCCTGAATTACTGATAGGACAGACTGGGGTGAATCCTGCCTGTGAATCATGTAAGGCCAGTCAATGAAGGCCTTCTGTTTCAGTGCTCTGTTTCAGTGCTCAATGCAGGTACCTAGTGCCATGAACATACCATTTTGTTTAATGATGCTTGTAGAAAACACACATTGGAAGGTTTAGTACTTATGGGGTGCTGGTGAGTTAATACAGGCAGCTCAAACACATCATGACACAGAGACATATCCCAAATGGGTATGCATTAATGTAATGACTAATCAATTCAAGCACAATCAGACACAATTTTAACACAAAACTAAATTTTAAAATAATTAAAAGGCTGTACTCCCCAGGACTCCTCTCAATCCTTACAAGACAATACCAAACATAAAGGAAATTACAAAACCTAATAGAAAAAAAAAAACCTAACAGGGTATCGACCATGCAAAATGAGCCCTAGTTTCTGCATACAAAAGTGGAAATAAAATGGCATTTCACAGTCTATCCCCACGGGTAGTATATTTCATGTGTCTTCAAATCATAGCATGCCACAATAGTGAAATTCTGCTTTGGCTTAGACAATTCTTACAATTGCACATCAGTACTAAAAGCACATTGCAGATCCCATAGGAGAAATGCCATCTCACTTCACCTGGTCACACATCCAAATGACCTGTCCCAGTGGTCCACAGCTTGTAAGCAGACTGATATGCCTTTTAGTTCAACTTTCCTGTGGGTGCATCATATGCAGCTAATAGGGTTAATTTTTATGGTAAATGCCCTGGGAGTTACATTTTTCTTTTCTTTTTTTTTTCCTTTCTTTTAATCTTTAGTTTTCCAATTTTGATTGGAGAGAATGTACACTTATTAATTTTAAATTTTCTTAAAGGTGTGTGTTTAATTTTTACCAGAGATAGATTAGATTGGTGGGTTGCATATATTCACGAGCACAAAAGTCTGCCCACCATTAATAGCCACTCCGGCTCCACTCATTCTGACATTGGAAATTAGATGTAGACTTTACTATTGCATGGTTATAATGGGGTCACTATTGTAGTTTGTACATTTTTAAACATTTTATATAGGAATCTCGGTCCAGATATTGTATTGAGCATACCTGTACTGCTTTACATAATCCATCACAACCCTTAATGGAATCAAAATGCACTACATAGTTTTTATAATAGTTTTGAAAGTCAATGCTATCTGGTTTTCTAAATCTCTGTATAAGTTCTTCCAAACTTTCAGGCTGAAGATCCTTAATTTTGTATATTTCAGTCATGATGTATTCGAGCTTCCAAATAGCTTCTTTTTTCAAGTTTGCCTCCGTAAGATTTAAGTAATAATGCCAAAGATCCTGAAATACACAAAGCAGAATTCTGTTTTAAATTCAACACAAGTACAGACTAATCTCAGAATGCAAGAACAGACTGTAGGAGTATATATATAAAGTGTCCTTACAGCATTGTGTTGAACATTTCATTATTTCAACTCAAAGAGCTTGCTTGTAATTCTGTAAAGTTGTGCAACTGGAAAACCAGTTTCTCAGGTTTTCACATGTCTGCACTCAATGCTACCCATCCACATCATCTGATCGCGATGACAAAGCGCTAACATGACTCAGATCGGCGTGATTGACAGATTCAAAACCCAGGGTTGTCAGCCAACTCCTCCAATATAAAATTTGTAAAATTACTTGATGTTAAAATAAATAATTTAATTGTACATGTATATTTATTCATTATTTTTACATGATTTTATTAATTATAAACTGAGGGACCTGTTTGACAACCCAGGCAGAAAATCTAGAGAATTTCATTAGCAAGACACAGACAATTGCCTCTGTTCTTAACCCCTTAAGGACGGCGGGCATACTATGCCGTCCTTAACCCCTTAAGGACACATGACATGTGTGACATGTCATGATTCCCTTTTATTCCAGATGTTTGGTCCTTAAGGGGTGAAAAGGGTGTCCCTAAACGCCGGAGGGCGGCATAGTTCGCCCAGCCGTCCTCGCCCCTGGGACTTACCTGGGTATCCTGCTGACGTTAGTGCCCAGTTCCTTTCTTAATTCATGGTGGCCCTCTGATAATTCTGTGCAAACTAAAACATAAAAATGCCTGGGCACATCAGAGGTGCAATGTTTTAACTTTAAGAAGCATTTGTCTCCTCCCTCCTGGTTTGTGGGACCTGTCAGATAATGGAGGATAGATATCCCAACACATATCCCATCATCCTCATGAGTCCTCCTCGGGAGGGGTGTAACAGACACTCAATTGCTCAGTTCTCATCCTCCCTCACAGATTAAGTGTAGTTATCTCTAATTTCCCTGGCATCTCTAAGTTTCACAGCACTGTCAAGCATTGATGAAATCAAACGGTTGTCCAGTAGAGATTGTGTGGCTTGTCCCTATGTAGCTGCTAGTGGGGGAGCATTGGACTGTAATAAGGAAATTACAGCAGCACTAACCACAACACACCACTCTACAACCTTTGCAGTAGTGGTTCACTCCTATACATTTCTAAGAGCAACCTGGACCCAATGAGAAAATAGTCCTGTTAAAAAGCTTGATATGTAAAATTACATTCTCATCACATACACCAACTACTTTTAAGTATTTAGGACCCAAACATAGGTGAATACATGTTAATATTTATAGGTTTTAAGGTTTTATTAGAAGATACACATATGGTTTGGATTAGCAGAGATCAGTAAACATCTAAACAAATCACTGCTTAATAATCTGTACTTACCAACAAATTATAACAACCGGTGTCATAATGATACAACCTGAATCCTGGGTTATTGCCATCACTTTCTGATAAAGATCTTATTGGTGTCACAGCTGGAGCCACAAACACTGATCCAACTGGCTTCTCTGCAAGACAATGGATAATTAATGAATAAATGTGCTGTAAATAACTATTTCCCCAAATAAATTTACATTTTGATAACTACATTGAATATAGTATAATTTTTCCAATATTCCATGCACTCTCCCTCTTTCCTCATTTCTGACTTCCATCAACTCGTATTTCCCATTCTTTCCCCACTTCCAATTCTTCTATCATCCATCTTTTGGAGCCATTAAGGGTTTCCCCTTTTCTTCCATTACATTCTTTTTATCCAAGTGCTGAGCAGTACAAATACAGCAGGAGATCAGTCACTATCCTTATGACACCTCACTTTGTCCTTTATTTAATAGGCTTTCCAAATGATTCAATACTGTTCGGACTGCCAGGGCTTGCCTTATATTCTCCACCCTCCAAAGCCAAAGGTAAAAAGGGAGGGGGATATAAGTTTTTTATTTTTTATTTAAATACATAATTTTGCCATCTGTCCCCCACACACAGTTAGGACAACATAAGAAAGTCATAGAAATTAAGTTATGGTGCAAGGAGGTCCCTGGTGCTTCCTTAACTTTAGGGGTTAAGCTGTTCACAAACGGTTTAACCCAAAAGTTGGCTCCAGCACAATTCCTTTATTGTCCCTGTCCAAATTTGCTTTCAGAAAATCAGCTAGAGGAAGCCATGGACTGCCGCCAGGCAGAGGCACTGCTGATTGGCTTAGAGCATTCAGTAGGTCCCCATTCTTAAAAAATGGCTTGAGAAAGGTAAGTACAGTTTGGCACTTCTAACTTTCTTGCTACAGTTTGTACCAGCAAGGTTGTGTCTGTCACGTATTCATCCGCTTATAGAAATGTGGTTAATGGCATTTACTGTCCACACAGGAAAAGTTGTGCCGAGCAGCAACCTAATCCACAGAAGGTTTAATGCTGAGCAGTAATTGTGCAAATGAAACTTGGTCTCATGTATTCATCCGCTTATAGAAAAGTGGTTAATGACATTTACTGTCCACGCAGGAAAAGTTGTGCCGAGCAGCAACCTAAACCACAGAAGGGTTAACGCTGAGCAGCAATTATGCAAATGAAACCTGGTAACTGACTTTGGGGTCAAAGGCCGGTTACAGCCTATCAGAAAGAAAGGAGGGGTATTTAGGCCCAGTTCTCAGCCTGCTCAGTGCCCTGTCGTGGTTTCCCTTGTGGTTGTCCGAGAGCACGTTCCTGTTTATAGTTTTCTACCTGGTTTTTGACTTTGGCTTTGTTTATTGACTTCTCTATATTCTGGTATCCTGACTCCTGGCTTTCCTCATCGCTGTGTCCCTTTCTGTGTTCCCTGACCTCGGCTAGTATTTTTGACTATTCTTTGTACGTTAAATCCGGCCATTCTAAGGACCGGTAATACGTTAATTATTTGTCATCCATGCTGTACAGTTCTACGTGCTGGATCAAACAGTAATCCTGACAGTGTCCCTGTATAGAAAGGAGGGTCAAGGAAGACATGGTATGAAACGTTTGGTGTCGAGGAAGTAGTCGCCTGCACAAGCACAACTTCTTCAGAAACCCTTCCCTTCACATCTATCAGTCATTAAAAATGACAAACCTAGTGACATAGTAGGCTGTACAAAGAAACCTGGCCCAAAGAACTACACAGCATTACCCCTGCTCTTGCACAGGGCTGTCTTGAATTTTAGTGAGGCACCAGAAAAGTAATTGGTTTGAGATCTTTCCTTGCATTAGACACTGCTTCATTACTTCTCAGACCAGATTAGCACCCCAAATAAATAATTGGTCACCATTTCTATTGACTGCAAAGTGGAAACCAGATTCATTAATGTCAGAGCTGGAACTGAAGTTTATTTATAATCTATTCAAAATGCTTTAAAACGAAGTTTAGGTTGGAGGAGGGCTTTTTCAGAACTGTTAAAGGAAAGAAGTTAATGCAACTAAAAGAATACACTTTTGTGTTCCCATAAGCATAGAATCTTTATTAAAATGAATATAGACACTGGAATTTCAGAAGATGTATAAAGTAAGGGCTACTATGGGTCAAATATGGGACTGGAGAAGGTTAAGATATATATGGCTCATAGCATGTTGACACCTGGCTATCACATCTGTATGATCTTGTTGAAAATCCCATTCCAAAATTATAGATATTAATATAGAGTTGTGCCCCATCCCTTAGCGGCTATAACAGTTTGTGTTTTGTTAGTTTTTTGGGAGGAAGCCATATGAATTAACAAACTTATGTATGCATGACATCACAGGACACAACATAAAAGAAATAAAAATTATAATATTCCCTAAATCACTAATAAAGTACTTACGATATGTGTATGTGGCACTGTGTATGTGTAAGTGTGTAAGTTTCATTGTGTAAGTGTGTGTATATAACAGTGTGTGCACAGTGTTGTCTGAGTGTGTGTGTATCACATTATGTGTCATTGTGTGCATATACCAATGTGTGTACCTGCCATGTGTACTAGAGGATGATATTCGCTCAATTTCTCTTACCACTCTATCAAAGTGTTGTCCGAAAAATACTGGTCTTTGCATTGGAGGTAGTTTTGCAATAAAAGCACCGGTCAAACAGCCTCGAATCTGTGCCAGTAAAATACTGGCTAAATGGCAACCCTACCCTCAGTGCACCACGCTTGCAAGGCACATAGGTATGATTGTGGAGCATATATGAAGACCAGTGCTCAGTTTATTGAACACACTCACCTGCAAATTAGGGTACCAGAACAGAGAAAAAGCAGTGGCAATGCATTTAGACAAAAACTAAATTGGCTTTTACATCTTTGTAGCACATACATTATTCATATTTGCCTACAGTATTATGAAATTGAACATTAAATTACTGTTGAATCTGATTTAAAATTCATAGTTATGATTGTGCCCATGAGTTATTAGAGTGTCCCATTAAGAATAACACTAGAATATATCCTTTTTGGGTTGTAGTTTATTTTTGGTGGTGTGGGGTTTATCCAAAGTACTTATTAAAATCTAAAGCTTATATTTCCTACATCCTTACAAGAATTATATTAAAACTTGGAGAATTGTAATAACACCATATATGTATCATGTGTATTGTCCTACCATTGTTTTCATCTAGGAGGACCATGATGCTGTCTCTGTGAGTATGTCCATAAAACTGCCCGGAAATAACATCACTGTAATTTCGGAAGATTTTCACCAGTCTCTCGTTAAAATTTACTCCCATTGCAGCTGTGAAAGCTGCAAATGGCAAGAATCCAACTGGCACGTGAGCAATAACGTATACCTACACAAAAAAGGAAATCATATTCAGTTGTAAAAAAGTCATGTCTCCATCAACATCTACTGATGATAGAGCAGGTATACTGAGCATATTTGTAAGAAAAGTAGATTAAAAGCAACTGTTATACTGCTGCCAAAAGGAGGGATTCTGGACGAAGCTGCTGTATGGTATTTTGTGCAATAAATCAGAAAAAGTGGATCGACTGCCTCTGTCATTTTCTACCCGAGGAGGGAATGTCATTTGGAGCTATCACAGTTAGAGCAGGCTTATCTGCTCTACTTTTGTGAATGTATACTGTATCCATTATATTCTGGGTTTATGGTTATACATATTTACACTATTTGTATCCTGTTTCTTTCTTTCTTTCTTTCTTTTTTTATATATGTTGTGATATATGAAGATCACCATATGAAATTTAGAGTGTTTTATGTATTTTAAACCACATTTTGCACAATATATAACAGGTATTGGCAACCTTCAGCACTTCAGATGTTTTGGACTACACCTCTCACGATGCTTTGCCAGCATTATGGATGTTAGAGCATTATGGGGGATGTAGTCCACAGCATCTGGAGTGCCAAAGGTTGCCTATCCTTGATATATAAGTAACAGGGAGGTTTATGTACTTTAATGAAAATTGCACTTCTGCACATTATAACACTTGCTGCACTTTAAAATAGGTTTTGTCTTAGAGACACAGCGCACCTAGATAGATTACTTGTATTTATTAAGTTCAACTGTAATAAATTAATACGTTTTTAAAACCAATACAATAAAAAAAAAAAAACAACATAAGTAGTAGATTAACTTTTAAATTAACTTTTTTTTGCATGACTTATTAGTAAATTCTTAGCTCTTTGGTTTTGTCTCACATTTCTAAATAGAAGTCTTTCAAACTATATGGAACAAAAAAAAAAAAAAAAAAGTGAATGCACTAAAGTTACAGTTACTGGAAATTTAAACCAATGTAGCGAAACTGACAACAGAACGCACTTGGGGACTTTTGGCCGAAATTTTTAAATTCCCTTGGAATTCCCAGCACTTCTCAATTTAGTAAATAGCCCTGCAAAAAATGCAATTTGCCATAAATGTAATTTATCCAATATTAGAAGCAATAAAGGTAAAGGTAAAGATTTAAATTGAATTGTGGTGGCATTGGAAGTGAATGAAAAATTAAAACTGTAATTGTGATTTTGATTTTGTTTATATTCCACGTTTCCCCATACCTTTTCATTATTTTGCCTAGATGCTTTTAAAGTCTCTTCGAGCCACTCAAATTGATCAGCTGGGTCTGTCATATTTACGGTCACTTTATTCGGACTGTAATAAAGATTAGTGTTCAGACTGATAATCCTCAATGATTGTGTAGTCTGGCTTGATTTGTAGATTTGTGAATAATATCCACCTAGGAGAAGTGCAAGAATGCATATAAATCTAACATAGTATCTATTCTACAATAGTAACACTTTTTTCCATACATATATCTGTCTTTCATTTTTACCATGGCATTTACAGAACAAATGGCTGTGCTATTAGTCTTTTCTACAGGACACTAAATAGCACTCCCTAGAACCAACATCAAATAAAAAATAATTACATTTTATTCATCTTTCTTATCTACACACGTGCAATACTACTGGAACCAGTACTGCAACTGAGAACAACAAAGCTTCGCCATACCACTGAAACTGATGTTTAAATCTGAATTAAATCCTGCTATTGGCTGTTATTTTGCCTAAGTGCAGTTAAATACAACCTACCTCATGTTTAAAGGGACACTATAGTCACCGGAACAACTTTAGCTTAATGAAGTAGTTTTGGTGTATAGAACATGCCCCTGCAGCCTCACTGCTCAATCCTCTGCCATTTAGGAGTTAAATCCCTTTGTTTATGAACCCTAGTCACACCTCCCTGCATGTGACTTGCACAGCCTTCCATAAACACTTCCTGTAAAGAGAGCCCTATTTAGGCTTTCTTTATTGCAAGTTCTGTTTAATTAAGATTTTCTTATCCCTTGCTATGTTAATAGCTTGCTAGACCCTGCAAGAGCCTAAATATGTGATTAAAGTTAAATTTAGAGATTGAGATACAATTATTTAAGCTAAATTTCATCTGTTTGACAGTGAAACCATTTTTTTTTCATGCAGGCTCTGTCAATCATAGCCAGGGGAGGTGTGGCTAGGGCTGCATAAACAGAAACAAAGTGATTTAACTCCTAAATGACAGTGAATTGAGCAGTGAAATGGTAGGGGAATGATCTATACACTAAAACTGCTTTATTTAGCTAAAGTAATTTATATAGTGTTCCTTTAAGTACAGCAAAAATTTAAAGATTGCTGTGGTTACCTAATAAACTTTGCTTTTGCAAGATGGACAGTCTACACACATCGTTTGAAGAAATATACTTGTCATTTATGTGAAGCACTGGAAACATTAGTAAGTAAACATCTTAAGTGGTAGTGTTCCAAGCCAAGATCTGGAATTCGGAATCTATTCATTTATAAAAATAACGCAAACATCATGGCATGAATGTAATATAAATCTATCCCATAGCTGCAAAGGTAGTTTTTATAAAAACTATTCATATATAGAGTTAGAGCTATGTGAGACCTACCCAGTACATTTGAGATACTTAATCACAGAAGGATTAAGACCTAATTGGGCTATGGCAGATTATCAGTTTGAACCCCTCTTCATTCTTCACATAGGAACAGTTAATGGGGCCCATGTCTAAAGCCCTGGGCCTGAAGCAGCTACCTAGGGTCACATTATGGATAATCCTACTGTTATTTTCTTTTATTTATCATTGATTTTCTGTTACCATGAAATACGTACCACAAAGGGGAATTACTGACTCATTTCCAGCTGACTGAATACCACATGAAATGTAAATTCCAATGTTAAATAGAGATACTGGAGAAGTCCAGTATAATGTAATGTTATCGTTTTCTCATTACAGGCAATACAAAACAAAAGCTTAGTGTATCAACTTTAAAATGCTAACGCAATGATTTCCTTTCATTGTTCATCAGTATTTATCAGCATGTATTTCAAAATACCACAATGACCACATATGACAACAGCATACTCTCAGTACCTTTCCTTAAAGTTACAAGTGCTTCCTCATTTAGCCAAGGCTTCCAGTATTCAGCTACCGCTGTGTATATTTCGCTTGCTTCCACAGGAAACTGATCCTGAAAAATACAATGAAAATATCCTAATTCTCACATAAAAAGCAAACTATGTATTGTTTAAAAATTACAGTGTATAGTTACGGCATTACTTACCTTCAACGAGCTGTGCAGACACCCTCCTGCCGCACGGTCCGACCGCTCCACGCAGCACACTGAGGGTGACTCTCCTCCCTCGAGCCGTGCAGACGCCCTCCTGCTGCGGGGTCTAGCCAAACTACGCAGCCGCGTGGCAGGACATCTATATATAGATGTGGACGTGACATCACGCCCACTCTTAAAGTGGCCATGTCATCATTGCAATTCTAATCTGTTTTGGATCGCAGTGATGATGTGGACCTATAAGAAAATAGGTAAGCCTATTTAAGACTTGTTGTAGCCCCCTATTCAATGCCCTATCGTGGTTTCTGTTAGAACCTCGTTATGTGCTCCTAGTGATTCCCTTGTGATTTCCTGTGTTTGACATTGGCTTCGTATTTGACACCTGATTTTGGTATCCTGACACCGGCTTCGTATTTAACTCCTGATTTTTTGGTATCCTGACCCGGCTTTGTCTTGACTCCGAGTATTCCTGTTATTCCTGTCCTTGACCCGGTTTCTTGTTGTATTACTATGTTAAGACCGGCCATTCTAAGGTTTAGTATATTTGGTTTGGTAATACGTCTTTTGGATCCATCTTATGTAGGTTTCCTCTTTCCTGCGTGTTAGGATACGACTCCCTTGTCAATAGTCAAATATTGAGAAAAGTCCTGGGAATTAAACATTGCTGGTGGGTTCCTAATAAAAAAGTTGGTATTTAGGGACTTCATAAGTGATTGATTGGTTTGTTCTCTCTACATATATGTTAAGAATGATTGTTATTATTTAAATGTCTTTCATAGAGTTCCATACTCTATGCTTTTCTTACTTGCATTTAGGAGATTTATCATGTTTGTCTTAGATTTTTTTGCTTTTGTTTGGTGTTTTGAATAACATTAAATAATAACAACTATAAGATAAGGCTAGGGACTAATGAAAGTATTTAGAAAATTGGGCAGACTAAATGGGCCGAATGGTTCTTATCTGCCGTCACATTCTATGTTTCTATGTTTCTATGTTTGCACTTTTCCAGTTTGATTTTTTTTCTTGTTATAAATATATTCTTTATGTTTATAACAGTTTACATCAAGGAAAAGGGTGGAGGTCTCCATTTTATTAAAAACATGAATAGAGATAAACATGCGATTCAATTATTTTGAATTTGCTATAAACAAACTTTTCATATATTTTTTAACTAGGATTAGCATTTTCAAACCTTATAATTAAAATAGTTGCATAACAATAGATGATTTAAAAAAAAAAAAAACATTGTTCTTATTTGCTGAAAACATACAATTGACAAAGTAATATACTATTGTAATAAATACACATAAGGATGTAGAAAATTACATCTGATGTACCACTTTTTCAGAAGTAGAAAAAAAATGAAGAACTAATACAGAGAGAAGTGGTACAGCAGATTACATTTATATAAAATAAATTAATAAAAAAAACAAAAAAAAACAACAAAATTATGCAAGCAAGGAATATCTATCTGCTAACGGTATAAAAGTCATGGTTGATCCTTACCCATACAATTTTGCTTAGGTATTCTATCTTAGGGTGGTAAATAAACTTGCTTTCAAATAAATTGAGATCCAACGGTAGTCCAAAAATATTGGTCTACACTGAATTTAGGAATAGATAGCAATAACCAGGCAGTGAACAAATAGCAATGTTATCACACCAACAGCTTAATAAATACTCAACACTTGTCAAAGTTACAAATTGCAATTACCTGGGGCCAGTAGTCATGGTTACCGAGTGCTGGAAATACCTGAAGATCTGGTAGAAAGCTGTGAATAGTAGTGGACATGTTTCCAATGATATCGATTACCATTTTTGTAGACAGTTCATTCACAGGTATATGAGGAGGGCTATCTCTGATTGGGGAAAATAAATTAAAGTTTACACATTTGTAAAATGTATGTAAACAGTTAAATATTTCTCTCAAAGGAAAATAAATTAAATGTTATATAAATATATAAACACACACACATAACATTCACAATATTACCTCTACTATCTCTTTATGTCAGTTTTGACCATTAGATTTTAGTATTCTTCACAAAAATGTTTAAAAAGAAAAAAAATGCTCAGTTATTTATTGTAAGTGCAAATAGGTGCAAACAATAAAAAGAAGCCATTTCTCCCATTACAGACTACCTAAAAAAGGAACAGTCACTTCTCTAGATATTATACAATTGAATTAAACACTGAAAATCACCTAGAACTAGTTTACTGTTTTTTTTGTTTTGTTTTTTTGTTTTTTTTTTCGTATCGGCATAGTATTGCAACTTGATGATATACAGGCATAGCAGGTGATGCAATAGTCGATCTACTCAGTTTTAGTTACACAGGTATAGGTAATCGCAAACCATGTATCACTGTTATAGGTAAAAACAATTCTATGCCATAATGAGAGTATTTCGGTGTGCCCACTTTACCAATAGTTTTTTTTAAAATAATTTAATATCAAAGTAAGAAAAGTAGATTGTAAAGAGTGAATAGTGAAAAAGAGAACATAGAGAGGAACAATGAAAACAAAAAAGGGGGCGGGTGGTATCTCCTTCGAGAGTAGGTCAGGGATCTGGGTAGATGTACAAAGATGAATGTGACGGACCACATGGCACCCCGACCGGGTGCCTGCGGCAAATGATGCCCCTAGTGCTCACCGAGAACTCCAAGCACTCCACCAGACACCATAAGCACTGTAGCCCCTTAGCCCTTAGCTTTGGCTGGGGTCTCGCCGTCCTCTACCCACCCTGGACCCAAGACCAGGATCCAGCTTCCAGTGGCTGAACCTCTCCTACCCCAGAGAGTATAGCAGGAACAGCTCTTATAAGAGCTAGTGATTAGAACCCAGGGAAGCATAAGGAGTATAGCAATCCCCAGAGTGAATATAACCGTCCCCTCCACACATGAGATGGGGCTCTATGTTGAGGGTGAAGAGGAACTGATTTTAATGGTGCCACACTTGGCCTTATGTGACAATCCCCATGCAAGGGGTACACCCACAAGGACCTGATGTTAGACTGATTTACAAAGTCACAGACCAATAACAATAAGGTCACAAGGCACGACACTTCCACACACAGCACACAATCCTTCCCCTCTGCCTGGGAGATAATTGAGTCAGATACTATATTAACATATATCTCCAGGCAGAAAAAACTATTTTCTATAAAACCCCAAAAGTACCGCAAAACACATAATATCCCCACAAATGTTAAATCCCCTGATAGCCCTGATCTGTGTGAACAACATATCCCAAAATCACCCAGATCAGTTCATGGGTTCATGAATTATATGGAAGTCACATTTTGACCGACCGCAGGAATGGTCCCATGCCCAAAACAGTTCCAGAGAATCAGGGCTTGCGGTCGGTCAAGATGGCCACCACCACGTGTTTGTCCATAGGAATAGTGGCCACCCAGATGAACAATTAGAACACTGCGGTGAGAAATGTTCCAAGTTGTTAATAGGTGTTAACAAGCTCCAGGGTGGTCTTGGTTTCATGCAGTAGTTTGGAGTTTGAAATGCCGCTTTGAAGCACTGCGGGAGTTCGAAGAGTTACTGTACAAGTCCAAAAAGGCACAAACAGTGTTTTTAACCAAAGTCTATTACAGGGGCCATAGTCACAGGGCAGGAGGCTGGCAAACAGACCCCTCCAGGAACCAGTGGCGAGGTTACATTTGCCACAACGAATGTCCACTGTGTATGGTTTTGGGGTGAGTGTACTTACGGTCTCGCCATATAGCGGTCAAGGTCTGTAGGTGGAGTATTTGCACTGGCTAGGACATCCATCAAGGCGGAGTGTGGAAGCGTCCTGTCCTCCCATCCCTCAACCTAATCACTGAGGTTGCTAGCGATCCATGTGTCACAGACTTTATGGAAATTTTTTTAAGGTTACCTCCACTGTCAGTTTGTCCATTAGGTATATGTTGTTAATTTTATGTATTTTCAGGTTGAGGGAGGGGGTTTCAGGCCGCAGCCAGGTATGTGCCAGGGCTCGTCTGGCAGCATATGTCCCTGATCTGTTGTTGTCCAGTCATCCTTCGGTATAGGCAACAAATGAATAACATGGGTCAATTTCCATATTACGCTGGTAAACCTGTGCTATTAAATTCCCTAGCTCCCTATGTTTCCAGAAGGTTTCAACCATTGGGCAGGTCCATCACAAGTAGATATACGTGCCCTTGAGTCCGCATCCTCACCAACAGAGATCATTTGGGGTTCTCCACATATGATATAGTTGGACCTGACTGGTGTACCAGCAGAACATAATCTTATAAGATTGTTTTTGAATAGTAATGAAAATTGAGGTTTGCCTCCCAAATTTCTTGCCAGTTAATTCCTTCAAGCTCTTCCCCCAGGTCTGTCCCAGTGATCAGTGTATTTTAACTCGCCCAATTCTGTTGTCGTGGAGCTAAGGTGTGCATAGAGCTAAGGTGTGCATATGTTGATGTTAGTAAGCCCCTGGGGAAGGATACCCTCAGACACATCTGCTCAAGGAACGTCAGATGCCGACGAGCTGCCTCTCGAATATTTTTATGGTTGACAAAATCTTTAAGTTGTAAATATTTTTTTTTTAAATCTCCTAGTTTTAGGGTGATTCTGTCTGCCAATGTATCAAAGGCGATTATATGATGTCTATGAAATATGTGCGTAATTCTTTGCAGCCTGCATATTCTAGATTTTTTTAAATCTCAAGCCCTCATCCCTAGGTGTAAGGCTTGGTTTCTGAGTATCGCCATCAATGGGGATGGGTTTGAAACTATACCATACCTCACCGCATATTTTTCCCAGACTTAGAGGGAATTCACTATGGATCGGAATTTCATGTGTAGGAAGGCTCTGTATTCTTTTGATTCCTATTTGTAGAATTGGTTAAGGTCAGTGCGTATTAATAAAGTTTCTAGGTCGACTCATCTTCTCTTGGCTGGAGGGGATTGCCATTAACGCTTTCGGTGTTAGCTGGGCGGCTAAGTAATAGTAGAATAAATGTGGCAATCCTAGGTCACCAGTTATGTTTGAATGGTATAGGATAGTAAGTGAGACTCTGTGCCTTTTGTTATGCCATATAAATGTTCCTATTGCTTTTTGTAGAGGAGCTAGATCTTCTTTAGTAATTTTGATTGGTAGTGCCTGAAACCGAAATAATATGCGAGGGAGGGTGTTCATTTTGATTAAACTAATCCTGTCAAAACAAGTTATGGTTTTATCTACCAATTTTTCCAGGCCTTCTATTAAAAATGTAAACAGTGGATTGTAGTTTTGTTAAAATAGGTGCTTTGAGTTGGCTGCTAACCAGACTCCCAGATACCTGATGGCTATGTGGGCTATTTGGATTTGCTGTGCTTGTGTCTCTTGTGCTTGTGTCTCTAATTGCTGCTGTATCTGTTTCTGAGCTATTAAGCAGGAAGGCATTCAAATTGCCTAAAATTTACCTTGTATCCATAAGCTTCTAGTATTTCCATGAGGGCCCTCATGGATTTCATAGGTCGAGTCAGTGTAAGCAAAAGGTCATCTGCATACCCTGAGACCGTCAATAGTTGTCCCACTACTATCACTCTATGGATATTTGGGCGGGTTCAAATTGTGTGGAGGCGGGGCTCAAGCTTTAGTATTAATATCAATGATGAAAGGGGGCAGCCTTGCCTAGTCCCATTGACGAATTGGAACGACATGTTCTGGTTAGTCTAACTTGTGCTCCAATGCTTGAATACATTTCTCCGATTGCATTGACATAGGGTTCAGGGATCCGCAAATGCCCGCAGAGAGCAAACAGGAATGCCCACCTCACCCTGTTGAATGTCTTCTCGGGATCGAGCAACAGGATCAAGGATGGCTCCCCCAGCTTGGCATGTTGCCAGATGATGTTTTGTTGCCATATGATGTTGATGTTTCAAACTGTTGTTGGCCTGGGATGAATCCAACTTAGTTAGCATGAATAAGTTGTCATAGAAAGGGTTTAAGCGTCCAGCTAGGATTTTGGCTAAAATCTTACAATCCTGATTGATAAGTAAGGTAGGCCTATAGTTTTCTTGGACGGAGTCATCTTTTCCAGGTTTTGGAAGTAGGACTATATTTGCGATGTACATATTGCCATCCGGGGGTCTCCCTGCAAGAGGTTGTTAAACAATGTGACCATATGTGGCATCAGATCTTTGCTAAATGTCTTGTTATAGCTGCAATCATAACCATCTGGATCCGGGGATTTTTTTCCTTTTATCTGGGAGATAGCATATTCTACTTTGCCGCTCGAAATATCACCTTTCAGTATTTCTACTGCCTCATCTGTCAGTCCCTGCAAGTTCATTTTGAATAGATAAGCTTTAATGGTATCAGTTTCTTCCATCTCATTTCTCTGGTCTTGTGGGGTATGGTTATAGAGGGATTGGTAAAAGTCGGTAAAGACTCAAGATATATCGGTTGGAGATGACAGTAGCTTATCTTTGTATCTTTGTCTTTGTGTGATATGAAGGCGTCTGTGTCATGGCCATAAGGTCCTAGCCAGTAGTGAATCTGTTTTATTTGCTTTTTCATAGAATGTTTTGAGAAGTGATAGAGCAGGCTGTGTCATCTAGTAGGGCCTCATGGTCTGCTGATCTGATTGCTTGCAAGTCCCGGAGCTTTGCAAGGGATGGATTTTGTTTATGTTTTTGTTCGAGTTTTCAGAGATTTCATTAAGGCTTACAGTATTTGTGATTTTTGGGGGGGGCTGCAAGTCGTATAAGTGTTCCTCGTGTTACCGCTTTGTGAGCTGCCCATATTGTGGCTGATGACATGGTTTCAGAGCTGGAGCTGTTCTGTCTAAAATATTCTTGTATTTCTTTCTGGATTGTTTTCATCACTGTGAGATCTCGGAGTAACGATGAGTAAAATTTCCAATTCCAGGGGGAGGCTACGCTAAGGTTATTCATAATTAACGCTATGTCAGTGTGGTCTGACAATGCATGGATCCTTTATGTGATTGTGCGATCTTAGGCAGGGCTGTGGTATTGACAAGAAATGGATCTGTCTTTAAATAAGAGTTGTGTGGGGCGGAGTGAAAAGAGTAGCCGGATTGGTGTGCCCATGGACATCTCTAGGGTTGGGGGAGCAGATGTGGCCAAAGCTCCTTCCCCGTGTGTGTGTCCCTATTGAAATTGAAGCTGGGAGCACTGATTCTCGAAGCAGCAGCAGTGCACAGAGGTGTGTGGAATTCCCACGTGCAGCCAAAGGGGGCACTGTGCTGGGAGGAACTTACTGCTGGGTCACAGAGAGAAGCGCAGGGGAGAGACAGGGAGAGGAAGTTCAGCTCTGCCTGTGGGAATGAGGCATCCAGGCAGCTACTGGTAAGTGTGAGTCAGTGTGTGTGATTCAGTGTGAGTGATCCCTCGGTGGTCAAACCACACCCCCCCACTGGTTTACCCACTTTTATGCCATCCATTTAAACTCTATCAAACATGTAACAAATGACAACCGATTCCAGTTCAGCGAAGACACAATCAGGATACATGGTGCAAATAAAGGAGGAGAAACAGAAACACTGGTTATATTTCTCCACCTCTCTTTGCTGATTGCCATGGACAAAGAACAAAGCTTACAACAATGAAGAACAAGGAGCCAAGATAGAGGTGCCCAGTTTCAGTATATGGGGATGTAGACTTTTACAGTTACATTTTATTTCTCATACATACATAGCAAGAACATTTTTGTTCAATATAGAAGATAAGCAAACAGAATATTAAAGCTCCTGAAAAATACCCGGTGGCTGTTTTTTGTTTATTTTTGTTTTTATGTGATAGTTTTATGTGCTACTTTTCTATCGCCCCAGCTCTCTCACCCCTTTACTTCCAGATTCCTTATCTCTTAACTCTGTTAGTTCTTTTTCCAGTGTTCCTTGGCTCCGTACTCACTAGGACACTTTTATATCTATTTGCATGCACATTGTAATACCAGACATCTATATTTCACAACACTCACCCCATATAACCTTGGATTCACTTTTCCCCTATATTTTACACCTCTCTGCCTTTCTACGCTATATGTACGAAGAACATACTCCAACACTCAACATTAGGTTTTGCATTCTTTTTCGTCTCTTCTATTGCCTGGCTTTTCTTATTCTTTTCTCCATTTTTACGCCTCTGATATTTATTGACAAAAACATCAAAAGATCACAAGGAAAACCACAAAGACTGATCAAGAAGGCACTTCTTAAAGTACCTACACTGGCTACTACTCCTCTCTTTTCACCGACAGGGATTTGGAAGAAGGACCCTCCCAACCTCTGTCCACCACTATCTTTAATTCACAATGAGCCTCAGAAACAGATTCGAAGGTTTCTAACCTCCTTAAACCCATCTTTGATTCCCAATTTAAGGATATTAAGGAATCTATAGATAGTGCAGTCCATCTTCTTCAAACCTACCTTACTAGAAACAAGAGAATACCACAGAAAATGAATTGCACAAGTTACTGTCCATGATTCAACAACAACATAATACAGTGACATCTTTACAAGTCAAATTGGATAATCTGGAAAAAAGAAGCAGACAAAACAACTGTATAATACTCCATCTCTTCAGTCCTGGATTTTGCACCCTTTGCAGATTGCAACCACATCTGGCAATTCTCCCATTATTGAAACTGATTTAACTGAGAACAGGATGACTTGCCAAATTGGGACAAATTTTCACCAGGCCCATAGGCCAAGCCCTTGCATAATTGTGAGGAGCAGTAATATCAATTTCCTGTACTAGATCAAATTGTTGTACATAGTTTGGTCCAATTATCCCTTTTCTAGCAGGACTTGCTGTGCATCCCACTCACTCCTACCCTTTTCCGCTTGAGCGGGCTGGGACAGTCTGAACTCCAACCACTCCACCCTTCACCAATGTATCTGCTAACTGACTGACTGATCTGTGTCAAATATTCCTTCCTCTACACTTAAGCTCCTCTCTTGGAATGTGAAGGGAGTGAATACGCCTATCAAGAAAAATAAAATTCTCAGATACCTATCCAAACATTAATCCCTGATTGTCCTCTTGTAAAAAACTCATTGGTCACATTCTGATAATGCCCAATTCAAGGCTTCATGGATGCAATCATGAATAACTGCCAAATGCAACTCCAAAACTAGAGGTGTGTCAATTCTATGACACTCCATCCTGCAGTACGTGATCTACAGCAGTGAAACTTACTAGACATGTGCATTAGTTTTTGTATGAATCCGATTTCGTCCTAAAATTCTGTTTTTTTTGTATACTAAAAGGTAAACAAAAGCCCTATAAATTAAATGGAAGGGCAAAAGCCCAAATGCATTACCTTTTTGTTTTGTTCATTTAATAGACTCCGTGCTGCAGGTTGGGGATCATGGCAGACATTAGGTCTCTCCTTTAATTAACTAGGGTCCCCCCCAGTCAGTCATGGGAGAGTATCGGGGGGGGGAGGGGACTGCAAGTAGGGGCGCCATAGATTTGAATGCAGGGGGGAGATAGGGGGCATAGTGCGGATTTCCTCCTAATGGATGAATTTTAACGAATTTCGTTTCAAAACAAACATTTTGCAGACGAAATTCGGGATTGACAAACTACAAATCATTCATACGAAATTAAAATTTCACTGGTGCACATGTCTAATACTTACCCAGAAGGCTGATACATTATTTTGTCTTGCCATTAACAGTATTTGTTATTGCATTTGCAATGTATATGCTCCAAACTCTGGTGCACTTTTTTTATACTAGGCTCCTAACGTTACTCACCCAATTTGATGATGACCATCTTATAGTGGGGGGAGTCTTTAACATAGTCGTTGTCCTGACCTGAGACAGAACCTCATCAGGATTGACAGTGATCGCAGGTTCCTTTGTATAATTTGCATGACCCATGAGGGATACTTCACGGTGGGGAGAGAGATTACACATTCCACTCTCCTCTACGATCGATATGTTCATGGTTACCCAGACAGTTTTACCTTATGTCACCAGTTCCACTACAGAGAAGACTACGGTCTTGGATCACGCACCTATCACACTAATAGTCTCCACACTACCTTTCCACCCATTCACTGCACAATGGAGTTTCTCCGCATCTCTCACTAATACTCCATTTTTACATTTACAGCGCAGTTGGGTTAACTTTATAGATGATGGAAGACGTTGATGACTCCAAATTGCTATGGTGAGACATCCAAGTTGCTTATAAAGAGACAGATACTCTCTTATAGTTCATCAGATAAAAAAAAAAAACAATAGAGAAAGGGCTTTAATATTTGAATATGGTTTTAAACTGTCACATGGACAACACCAGACCAACCCTTCAGCTTACAGGAAACAAACATTCCATGATGCCCAACACACCCTTAATGCTTTTATGTTGAATATATTTTATACATTCAAAAACAACATTTCTTTCAGTGTGGTGGAAGGTCTAGGAAAGTGCTTGGTTCAATTAGCCAACCCTAGGTCAAAATTCATATTCATCACAGCAATCACATCTCCAGAGGAAATTAGGTGCATACAGCCATCAATGTTATTTTATTAGAACAACCCAACAACTGGCCAAAACCCACCCAGATGACTATGACCAAAATATGGGTTTTCTCAAGAGCCTTAACATTCCCAAGTTGAATGTTAAGGCCTAGATCTGAGGGTGACATTCTCTTAGCAATAAAGACCCCTAAAACTGCAAAGCACCAGACCCAAAACCTTAAAAGCATCAAATTAGTCCCACTCACAATAACCTATTCAATAATACATTTTTTTGTTTTATGCTTTATGGGATTTGATGAATTCCTTTCTTTCCAGTTTTAGAGTTATTTTATCTATTGTGTCATATTTCCTCCGATCTTTCTGTAATATTCATTCTGTGAATACCAGAATTCTGCACTTCATACATTTGGAAGGCCTGCTGAGCACTGCCCCTAATCAGGACAGCTTAGTTTTAATAAGCAAACCATACAGGGATGTTGAAACTCTGGTATCCTATCATCCAGTGGCGGAACTACCGCGGTCATAGGGGTCACAGCTGCGACCGGCCCTGTCACTCTAGGGGGCCTGGCCGCCCTGCAAACCCCTGCGACCGCGGACTCCGCCGGCTAAGTAATTGCATTGAGGGGGCTCAGCATGGGCCACCTGATGCTATGTATTTCCAGGGGGACCGGTCAGCACTTTAACAGCATGACTGGGGCCCCTCTGATGAGGTCAGAGGCTGTGAGGAAGTGACTGCCCTGGTTACTCCTCTAACTTATACCGGGAGCCGCACAGGAGGAAGTTGTAATATTTCGTACAAATCAATCAATTATTCCTGTATAATAAAGTACTCACTTTATTAATACATATATAACAGGATAGTCATATTGCTGCCTTGTTACACAGGGTTTCTGCAGCCGCCATTACAAATCCCTAGAACATTCCACCAACTGCCAGCAGGAACAGGAAGACAAATATGAAGCCTATGTTTGTCAATTAAATGAACACAAAAATTCAAGATGATCCTGCATGAATTGGCATTTATCTAAATTCACATTCAATCCATATTCCACAAGTCTTTGCAAAACTGCCTCTACATTCGGTTTATGTTTCTCCTCTGATTTACCCGTCACCAGCATGTCATCTAACAGGCACCGTGTCCCAGGAATTCCATCTAACAGCTTGTCCATTGTTCGCTGCCAGACAGCTGGTGCAGGTGAAATGCCAAAAACCATACGGTTATACCTGAATAGCCCCCTGATGGGTATTAATCGTAAGTAGTGGTCGAGAATCTGGATGTACAGATAACTGTAGGTATGCATTTTCCAAGTCAATTTTGGTGAATTGCTGGCCACCTGCCAACGATGCAAAAAGATCAATTACCCTTGAAAGGGGGATACTTATCCATTTTAACCCCTGAAGGACCAAACTTCTTGAATAAAAGGGAATCATGACAGGTCACACATGTCGTGTGTCCTTAAGGGGTTAAGCTGTGTGTTAAGAGCCATGCGGAAATCCCCACAAATCCATATCTCCCTATTTAGTTTTCTCACAGGAACAATGGGTGAAGCCCACTCACTATTGTGAACCCTGGAGATGATATTCGGCTCTTCTAATCTCCTTAATTCTGCCTCCACTCCAGCTCTTAGAGCAAATGGCACACTAATTACTTTAAAATTTTTGGTGTTGCTCCTTCCTTTAATTCCAAGGAAACTTACAGTCCCCAATTGGCCATCAAAAACTGGTGCATACTTCTCTTGTAATTCCCTAATCCAGACAAGTCTGTTCTGATTATCATTCAACACATGACATGAATACTTGTGCACTTGAGGCATCCCAAGAGCCTTTATCCACTCCCTACCAAAAAGTGGAGGTCCTCCTTTCTGTAAGATAGAGATGTAGTTTCTTCTTACACTTGTATAATGTAACTGTTACTGTCACACTACCCACTGGTATTAACAGTTCTTTAGAATATATGTTTTCAGTCTCACTGTTGTCAGAATTATTGGCCTATGTATTTTAAGGCATTTCCAGTCTGTCAAAGAAATCACAAATACAGCGGCACCTGTTTCCAAAACCATAGTCCATTCCTTTCCATTAACAACAACCTGAACTGTGAATGTAAGCGCTACGGAATCTGTTGGCGCTATATAAATGGCAATAATAATAATAATAATAATGTAGCCAGATTAGAACCTATTTTATAGATTTTAATTTCGTACAGGACAGTGTTTATCCGAATCCTCAGAAGGCTTCTGCATTTGTACTCTATAAGCATTCTTTGCTCTGTCTCTCAAGTGATTATTGCCTTTCTGCTGTGGATCTACACACTGTTTGTAGGTGGCCCATTTTACCACAAGCATGACACTTGGCATCCTTGAATCTGCATGCAGTTGCAATATTTGTAATATGATTGTTCCTGTTCTGAATGTCTCTTTCCCTGTGGTTCACTCTGTGCTCTAGCATCTAATTAAAAAAAAAAATAAAAATAAAAATTAATTTGTATTTTATTGGAGTTTGATAACTCTAAATATAACATTGTCATAGAATGAAAATAGGTACATAAACAACTTTTCTAGAACATTTCTTCTTATTAACATCCAGTATGTGTTGCCTTAAGGTCTGTGTCCATTGGGCAAGCTAGTACTAGGGGTTGATGTGAGTCATCAGTAGTGGGAACTGACCCTACTGGTAGGGTGTTTGCTGGGGCTTTTATGTCTTGGAAGCAGTAGTATAAACTAAGTTAAACTAGGGTAGGATGGAGTGGGTTGGAGTGCGAGTCCAGGACTCTGTGGCAGCTAACCTTTGGGGTAAGCCCTCGTTGCCATAGCAGTGCTGCGTCTGCTTTTGTGGCCTCCGGAGGCGGTGATAGATGTCCATGTTGCATGTGGCGATTCCCTGTCTAAGTGCAGGGTTGTCCCTTCAGCCTAGCTGGCACATAATAACTTTTCATTGGTTCTTGAGTGCATTGTGGTTGTCGTTGCTTCTGGTCGCCGTCTCCTTTGTGCCCTCTCTTTTCCACCTCGTTCAGGTTCAACTGTCGGAGAAATTGCTCTTGGTCATCTGCAGATGTTGTGGTGAGTATTCGGTCTTCCTGTGGTACTGCCAGGGATCCATCTGCTCCCCACCAGTATCTAATTGCGGCCTCTCTTTTTTTTTTGGCCGTTAGTGCAAGCTGTCTCCTTTCTACCAGGGCTGCAAATGGGAGGTCTCCATAGAAGGTCACTGTATTGCCGTCTAGTTGCACACTGCCTAGATCTCGGGAGCGTGACTTGATCGTAGATCTGATTGTCAGATCTTTTGTAACTGCAGTGGTGTCTCTCGGTGATGCCGCTGGTGCCGTTGCGGCTTTGTGGATTCAGAATGCGGACAAAATTATGCCTGACTTGGTGTTCCCTTTAATTCCCATTCTGGTCAATAGGCGGGCTATGTACGGCAGTAGGTCGTCTCCACCCACGGCCTCTGGTATGTCCTGGATGTGTATATTTCACCTCCTGTGCCGGGCCAGCAGCATTGTGACCGTCCGTGTGAGCTTTTGGACGTGTGAGTGAAGGTCCTGCACAGCATTTTCTGTCAAGCTGTTGTTGTCTCTGGTGTTCTCCCTGGTTTCCACTTCAGTAAGCCTCCTCTGGATGTCTTCCACCTCATTCCACAGGTCTGTTCTCCACACCTCCCTCATTTCCTCTAAGAGGTCTCTAATGTCCCTCTTTGTCACAGGGGAGAGATCCTCTTCCGATCCTGAAGCCTGACTTTGGGTCTCGTCTTCTGCCCGAGGTGAGGTAGGGGTGTCGCTCTCCTCATGAAAGTCCTCCTCCTCGCTGGGTACCTCGTGCACCATCTTGGCAGGTGCTGGCTTCACAAAGGAGAGCTAAATGTCGGGTGGCTCTGGGATGCGGTTTTTCTTATTTTTCCGCCCCATTACAGCCTCTGTGTGTGGGGGGGCTCGTTTTCTGTTGATTGCGGAACCCGTCTCTGGGTTTTTGTCTCTTTACTTAGTCTCTGGCACGGAGCTTCACAGAAACGCATCCGTCTAGTTAGACAGCTGGCCACGCCCCCCTCTAGCATCTAATTTTAAAACTTCTAGCTATGCCTCCAGTGTGTTGTCCGGTCTGCTGTGTAATAGATTAGCATCCTTAGAGGCTTGTTCTATAATGCTTGCCATGTTCATTGTCTTTTTAAATGTTAAATCTTCTTCTGTAAGCAGTCTCCTTACCACTGTATCGCTTGCAATGCCCATTACAAACTGATCTCGAAAAGCAGTGGGCAGGTAGTCCCCAAAACAAAAGGTGCTGGCGAGTCTCCGTAATGCGATAGTATATGCTGAAACTGATTCACCAGGATTTTGTCTTTTATAGAATTTAAATCTCTCTGCTATCTCTAGTGGTTTTGGTTGGAAATGGCTAGTTAATAGAGTAATCAGGCTTGCCAATGGCTTGCTGGCAGGTTTCTCCTCTGAGTATCATACGTTCTGGCTCCTATAACGGTTAGGAAAACAGCGATCTGCTTATTGTCAGGAATATCATTAGCTGTGAAATCCTGTTCAAGCCTTTCAACCCAAGAGGCCCATAAATCCAAGTCAGGATCAAAGTCCTTTATTGTGCCAATTGCTGCCATGTAAGTTTGAGTTCTACAGCCTCGTCACCACTGTGATGTTTTGTACAAATCAGCCAATAATTCCTGTGTAACAAAAGTACTCACTTTATTAATACATATATAACAGCATCTTTATATTGCAGCCTTGTTACACAGGGTTTCTGCAGCCGAAATTTCAAATCCCCAGAACATTCCACCAACTGCCAACAGGAACAGGAAGTAAAAGAACCAAAAGAAAGGAAGTGCATCATCCACAGCCAACAACAGCCCAACCACCCGTACAGCACAATACACAAACTCATACATTCATAAAGCCTAACATTCCATACATCAAAGGAGTCAGAGTGGAAACTATGACTCCCATAAGGCTGGGCCACCACTGGGCCCCAGGGAAAGGAATGTGTGTCTGAATGACTCTCTGTATCTGTGTGTCTGTCTATGTATGTGTATATCTGTCTGCATATCAAGTTATTGCTGCTACAGGTGGTTCTACAAGCTATTGAATCATAAGGTATAGCTCTGGATTCCCCCCTTCCCCGTTATAAGCTCTCTGCTACAATTAAAATGATGGGCACCCTAAGGCTCTGACTGAGTGCTAAATACAGCAGTTTTCTTAATTTTTTTTTTTTTTTATATATATTTTGCTTGAAAAGAACCATATGCATTTTCTAATAGTACCAACATGCCAATTTTAAAATGTAAATATCTTACAGATTTTTTTTCTCACCAAAAGGCCAGAACATTCAGACTGTGGTTTTATAGTTGGCAATATTTTCCAAGGGCTCTCCTATAGAAAGACATTTCACATAAAATCTATAAAGTACTTGAGCAAGAATCCCCTACTGATTTAATGTCAAAATCTCTTGCAGTTAAAACCATGAAAGACGTTGGTTTCCGAACTGACTGTGATTCTTTGCTGAATGCAAATGCCAATGCTGTTCACATATACAGGGGATACTCGAAAAATTTGAATATTGTGCAAAAGTTCATTTATTTCAGTAATGCAACGTAAAAGGGGAAACTAATATATAGAGTTGAGCGGACACCTGGATGTTCGGGTCCGGCGGGTTCGGCCAAACTTTGAAAAAAAGTCCGGGTTCGAACTTGACCCCGAACCTCATTGAAGTCAATGGGGATCTGAACTTTTAGGCACAAAAATGGCTCTAAAAAACTCCTGGAAAGGCAAGACGGCTACAAAAGGAAGCAAAATAGGGGTAAGAGTAGGACAAGTGCCCTGTAAACAAATGTGGATAGCGAAACCACATAAAATAACATAAAATAAGCAGCCGCTTAGTAGATAACTTCCTAATACTGTGGGAATTAGGGAGTTATCTACCAAAAGGCTGAAAGACCTAAATTGGTCTTTCAGCCACATTTACTAATACTAAGTAAAGATTACTTCGTAAATTCAGCCCCTACTCGCTATACCTTGAGTAGAGGCGTGTTTAGTAAACAGTGAGCAGCCACTCTTCCCCCCAATTTTTATTTATGGCCCCTACCCACCGCTCAGGGGTGGGGGACAGAGGGGGAGGACACTATGGGGCATTGCCAAGAGAAAGATGAAAAACATGAGATCGAACAATGCAGAAGAGCTGAAGGCCGCTATTGAGGCATCCTGGTCTTCCATAACACCTCAGCAGTGCCACAGGCTGATAGCTTCCATGCCACGCCGCATTGAGGCAGTAATTGCTGCAAAAGGGGCCCAAAGCAAGTACTGAGTCCATACTTCAAGATTTCTTGAGGGCTGCACCGTTCCTGTGGAACTCGCTTCCCTCCTCCGTTAGATGCTCACCCAGTCTCCACTCCTTAAAAAAATCGTTAAAAACCCACTTCTTCATAAAAGCGTATCAATTAAATGGTTAATAGCTCCTGACTGCTTCCTCTTCTGCAAATGTCAATAGTCTAATACTATTCTTACCTTTTTGTAACATTTTACCCCACTCCCTCTAGCATGTAAGCTTATTGAGCAGGGCCCTCAACCCCTCTGTTCCTGTGTGTCCAACTTGTCTGATTACAACTACATGTCTGTTCGTCCACCCATTGGGTGTTCTGCCCAGTGCTACTCACTCCATTACTAAATTTACTGTTCTTGGGGGGCAGGGATGTTCAGTGGACTGTAACTGTTAATAGTTATTGACTTTGAAAAAGTCTGAAGGGAGGGAGTAGAGGGAGAAAGGGAAAAGGGAAAGACCAACATATATATAGGTTCATGGGTTGCAGAACAATCAAAGTAACGTGGATATAAAGAGTATACTGCTACTATTAGAAAATCATATCTAGAGCAAATTTATTAAATGTAGTCAAGTAGTTAAATTCTCATGACATTCAGTATAAAAAAGGTATTATGACATGCAACGCTGATTAAATGGTTACTCAATGCATACAGATGCTGATCACACCTCACGTGCATATCTCATCCTATGACAACAATACACAACCAGAGTCATTGAATAACACTGCAACAAACACAGCCCCGCTCCTACATGGTATGTTAAATACAATACTTTCTAAGGTTATTTGTTTTCTGTTATTGTTCTTCTTTAACTATAAAAAAACTAAACTCTGGCGGATTGCGACCAAGTCGATCACCTCAACATGAAGAAATGCCTTAACAAAATAACTCTACTTTCTTTTTCTTTCTGTAATACATTGTCGACATATGTACTATGATATGGCTTTTGCACAAGCCTAACACTGTTACTTTACCATGCGATCTGCCATTGCAAAAATAAAGAATACAATTTTTTTTTTTTTTTAAATGTCAATTAAAGGTTAATTTCCCAAACTTGTGGCTTTTTAAATTGCAGTTAGGGTTTGTGTTTAAATAATCAATAAGTGTCGGCTCTCAGTTTGATGCACTGAGCAGGCTAGATACTGAGCCATGGGGAGCAAAAAAGAACTGTCAGAAGAACTGCATTACAAGATAATGGAATTTTATAAAGATGGAAAATTATATAAAAAGATATCCAACACAGACTCACCCCACAAAAGATGGGTCACACTATTGAGGGCCACCACAGGCCACCGACTGCACACGCTGATATGGCACAGAAGCAAACCAACAGACGACCTTAGGAGAGGACTCCCCTGTCACGCAGACACTGAAACACTGAACCTTATTGAGGAGGGAGCAGCAGCTCTCACCCAAACTGAGCCCGCTGATACCCATCACAAACAACCCAAACCTAGGAGATGGACTCCCACCATCAGTTAGACACCCAAGACGGATACATACCCTACACACAGTACTCAACAATGCAGGAGTTCATCCACAAGATCACCCACACTTATGCACCAATTTCACTATGCCCAACTTAAACACTACTACTACAACCTAACACAGAGGATCAGAGTACATAGAGACCTAACGTGGTACGAGACACTCTGCTCACAAACACCAGAAGCAGACGGCAGAGTCTCAACAATATACCGAAGCCTACTGACAGGACACAGACCGGAAAACAACCTATACAAAAAAGACAGTGGGAGGAATGGACAGCAACACTTTCTCGGACAACCAGTGGGAGAAGATCCTGATACTGCAACACAAGCACAAGAGCTCAATTAGCTCCAACCTACAGAAAGTTAACTATAAGCTGCTGGCACACTGGTATCGCACACAGCCTTGCTCAGCCGATACATCCCGACCACCCCAAACACCTTTTGGAGATGAGATGAACAAATAGGGACACTACAACACATTTGGTGGAACTGCAGACAAATCAAGCCTTTTTGGGAGAGTATCAAAAGAGAAATCAGAAGCATACTGGATGACCCCCACAAGTGACAATGGATGCTGCACTCATACACCAAACGAAGCAGTCCCTTATCCACCTACAAGAGATCGATCATGAGACATATGCTAAATGCAGCTAAATACCTCATTCCACTACACTGGAAAAAGAAAGACCCACCCTCAACGGAACAATGGAAACACAAAGTGGAGGACATACAAACAGCAGAAGCCAAAATAGCTGACCTACTGCGAAGAGGAGACAAACACACTGAGCTCTGGAGACCCTGGCTACTATACATTACATAAGCAAAAACACACAGCTGGAGATGCTGAAGGGAGGAGTGGTAGAGGGCCCGGGCGTGCCAGGAGGGAGGCCGCTATGCCCACACCCCACCCAGCCCCCCCACACCCTAACTAACCTATCCTCCCCCCCCCAGTCCCAAATAGGAACAGCCAACACACTCAAGATATAACGCAAGACCTCGAGAGAGACGAAACCGATCATGCCACCAGGGATAAAGAAGACACACTTAGGGGAAATTACCCCAGGGAGAGAAAAACACAACAACTTCAAACACTACACAACAAACTTAAGGATAACATATGAGGCAAATAGTACATGCATTATTGTGGCTACAGGCACCCACAGACACGCACTAACCAACACGCAGACACCAAAGCAACGAGAGGCTAATCCACCAACACAGGGCAAGAATGGCAAACTCACATTCACCCAAAACACCCACGAGCTGGGAACCTGAAAGAGAGAACATACGACGATCTGACAAAAGGTACACAAGCACGGCACGCTATCAGACAGACAAACTTTAATGCAGACACAGACTAAACATAAAAGACAATGAACACATACACACAGACCATCTGAAGACTGGGACATGGGGGCAGAGACCCTCAGAAATAAAATAGAACGGACGACCCACCAGGGCCAAAGCTACACACACTCGGGTAAAACACAGCTGCTCAGGAGTAAAGACGTACAAACTGCGCAACTAGGCCGAGACGATTAATTGACACAGAGTGCACAACAAAATAGCAAAGGCACAAGATATCGGGGGGCAGGCACGACCCACTCATAGAGACAACACTAGTAAAACACGAACCTGGAGAACAGTGATTCACCTGCCACACAGAATCCTAGGCTAAGAAACCAGATATACGACTATACCAACCTGGTCACTAAATAATTTGCCAGTCATTGGTAATAAAGGCTGTTGCAACAATGCTATGTGATGAATGAGGCCTGCGAGCTAAAAAGTGACCTAATGGATATGGAGTCAACGAGCACACACGATATCGACTCTTAACCAAATGTATACCAATATGAGAATATGCTTGAGACCTGCGAGTCTCTCTGTGGAAACGTAATGCTTAAGTTATCTGTGTCTAAAACAATAAAAATGCATCAGTACAAAAAAAAAGAGGAAGGAAAGAAAGGGGAGAGAAAGAAGGTGAAAAAAAACAAACAAACAAAAAAAAAAAACACCTCTATGTGAATGCAACACCTGGTATTGCACTCAATTTGTGTGTTTATTGGAGGGAACAACAGCCCAATATTGATAACAATGGCTTATAAACATTGTTGGACTGTTCACAAATACTCTCCTGTATACTCAATTGTGTGACAATGACCAGTATTTGTGGGTCTTGGAAACATCACTCTCCCCTATTCATATACATCTTTGTACAGTTCATTTTGCTAAATTTCGTATTGTTATTTTCTATTAAGCCCTCACTTTTATTTTGTATGGCTGAAGGTTCTAGTGCCCCTTCTGCTGTGAAATGGTATAATGTTTTTGATAGTCTACTATATGATATAATATAAAAAAGAAAACACTGCAATGTTAGTCTTATGTAAGCTGTATGCTCCAAACTGTGTTATTATACTGACGTACTGGCACAATGTTCATGACATGTAATACTATGCAAATCTCTCAATAAAAACGGATAAAAAAAAAAAAAAAGATATCCAAAGCCTTGAAAATGACAGTAAGCACTGTTCAATCACAATTGAATATTCAGGGATCTATTGATGCCAAGCCAAGGTTAGGTACACCAAGAAAGATTTCAGCCACAACTACAAGAAGAATTGTTCGGGATACAAAGAAAACCCACAGGTGGGGCGTGGCCGGCTTAGACACCGCATAGACGCAATACTGTTGGGCTCCGATACAGCGCTGCTAAAAAAAAAAGGAGAGATACACTAAAACCAAGTAAACTCACCTTTTTGAGGACTACTTAGCACCCCTCCACCAGTCAACACTATGGGGCTGATTTGCGGTAGGTGTGGAAGGCAGATCTCTGCCTCACTCAATGGACTAATTCATAAACGTATACAGCTGGAAACACTCCTAAACTAATTTAAATTAATCTTTGCACTACCTCTAATCTCTTTAACATTCAATTCTCTCTGACCATCTGTTGACCTTTGGTATCGGCATATAACACTTATGTGCATAATATTGCAGAAACTACTGAAAACTACTGTCTTGCCCGGGCAATCTCCAAACTATTTTACAAAGCTCAGTTGTTGCCTGCACTAGCTCTGCAACCTTCCTCTACAACTCCAATTTCTGCTCTGATAAATAAGATGGCACTTCCTACATTTAAATATCTTAAGCAACCCCAGTTACAACTTGCACACTAAGCTGAACCAATACAACCAGAATTGCTAAACACAGCTAGAGAAAGGAATTTCGCATCAAATTTCCTCTACTTCAAATGTATGCTACTCACAGTTTTGCCCTTTCCATTGTCAAAGAAAAACTGCTCTGATGCCCTCATAACCACACTCCTTAAGAAACCCAAATACCTTAGGCACTATTTTTTGCTCTGTTGCCACTCCTGACTTTGTGAAGAGTGCCACAACCAGGTCTTTTCAACACCTCTATCTCAAAGGTAGACAACCTTTGGCACCCTAGATGTGAATTACCCATGATGCTTTGCCAGCATTATTTTTATATTATGCTTTTAGAGCATGATGGGAGATGTAATCCACAAAATCTGGACTGCCGAAGGATGCCTACCTTTGGGATAGGAGACATGTTGGCAGGTGTAGAAGATACCTGGTTGCAGCAATCTTATCAAAGTCAGGAGTGGCAACAGAGCAACAAATAGTTCTCAAGGTATTCGGGTATTTGCCCTAGTCCCAGTTCCACTGAAATATGTAATCTCTCTCTCTGGTGTATTTACTGCATCCTTCAACATATCTGGATAAAAAAATAAAAATAAAAAAAAATAAAATAAAAGTCTAACCACAATCTAAACTCCCTATCCAACTACCTCCCCATCTCCTATTTGTCTTCAAGATCTGAGAGTTGTGTACACAAACCAATTTCACCAATTTCCTAAAATCTAACTCTCTGCTTGACCCACTCCAGACTGTATTCTGCACTCACTGTCAAAACAGCCATGATCAATGACCTTAAATGCACTGCCCCCTTCTAATTCTCCTTGACCTCTCTGCTGATCATCAACTTCATCTCATCCTTTACAACCTTGATCTACAAGACTATGCTCTTTTCTTGGTTCTCCTTCTACTCCTCCCAGCATATCAGTGTCTCCTTTTTTTGTTTTCCCTACCTATGGAAGCCCATTCAGGTGGTGTTCGGTTCTTGCTCCTGTATTGTTCTCAATCTATAATGCGTACTCTGGTAAACTAATCTGTTACTTAGGTTTACAATATCACTTATATACCAATAAAAATGCAAATCTATCTAATCCCTCTATAACGGTGTCTCCAACTGTCTCTCTGCTATTGATAAGTAGATGGTAAAACATCTTTAAACTCAAGCTCTCCAAAACAAAACTTCTCATCTTTCCTCCTTCGAACACTACTCCCATGTCCATCTTGCTGCCTTGGTCTTTGATTCCAACCTTCCATAGCCAATCAACTGCCAAATCCTGTCAACTCCATCTGAAAAACATAGCTTTCATCTGCCCCTACCAAAAACTTGATGCAGCTAAGGTGCTTCTCCATGATGCGGTCAGGGGCGGACTGACCGGTCGGGCACTTCGGACACGGTCCGAGGGCCCGGCCGGGAGGGGGGCCCGCCGCCAGGGCCGCCTTCAGGGGGCCCGGCGGCAGGGCTGGATTGGGGGGGACTGCAGGTGCCACCGGGTGGCCGGTCCGGTGGCACACTGTGAGGGGGCCGGCCGTTTCATGCTAGAGCCGCCGGACCGGGTGGCAGCCTTGCCGGTCCGGCGGCATTCCGCTCACTAACACTGAAGGAGGAGGAGGAGGAGGAGCATGTGTCTGTCATGCTCCCTGCGGTTCCCACAATTCCCAGCACAGGATGTGGGAACCGCAAAGGAGCATGACAGACACATGCTCCTCCTCCTCCTTCTTCTTCAGTGTTATTGAGAGGAATGCCGCCGGACCGGCGAGGCTGCCACCCGGTCCGGCGGCTCTAAAATGAAACGGCCGGCCCCCTCTGACTAGTAAGAGGGGGGAGAGATGGGGAGGGGGGAGAAAGAGAGGGGAGAGATGGGGAGGGGGGAGAAAGAGAGGGGAGAGATGGGGAGGGGGGAGAAAGAGAGGGGACATAGAGATGGGAAAGGGGGAGAAAGGGGGGGCAATAAAGAGATGGGGAGAAAGAGAGGGAAGAATGAGACACAGGGGGAGACAGAGACAGAGAGGGAAGAATGAGACACAGGGGGAGACAGAGACAGAGAGGGAAGAATGAGACACGGGGAGAAAGAGGGGGAATAGAGAGATGGGGAGGGGGGAGAAAGAGAGGGAAGAATGCCCCCCCTCCCCTGTCCGCAGGCACCGTGCGGGCAGGGGAGGAAGAGAGGACCTGGGAGCTCACCCTCCAGCTCCTCTGGGTCCTTCTTGCGCGAGCACAGAGCGTTGCCGCGGTTACCATGGCAACGTTACTGCTCTTGCGAGAGTCAACTCTAGCCCTGGAGCTACGGGCTAGAGTTCACTCTCAACACTGTAACCCCCATTGATTCCTGGTGGTCGCAGTGGTGAGAGTGAACTCTAGCCCCATAAACACACTGCCCCCACACACACACCATACACATTCACACACTGCCCCATACACACCATACACATTTACACACATTGCCTCACACACACACATACACTGCCCACCCATATACACACAGACCCCCATACACAGCCCCCCATACTAACATTGCCACACACATACACTGCCCACACACCCTACACATTCACACACTACACCCCCACACACACAGTGAACCTTTCACATACATTGCACCACTGCTCCTATTCCCTACTACAGCCTCATATCCCAGCAGACCCCAGGTAAGTTGTCAAACTGTTCTTAAACGGTTTGACTACTTACTCTGGAGCAGTAGTGGTTATTGTGCATGGATTATTTCTTTAAATAATCTACAAGTGCCCCAGTAGCCAGCCAGTTAGCCAGCCCACAGGCCAGTAGCCAGCCCACAGGCCTACAGCAAGCCACAGGCTTACAGCCAGCAAGCCGCAGCCTGCCAGCCGCAGTCAGCAAGCCCACAGCCTGCCGGCAGTAGCCAGCAAGCCCACAGCCTGCCAGCCGCAGCCAGCAAGCCCACAGCCTGCCAGCCGCAGCCAGCAAGCCCACAGCCTGCCAGCCGCAGCCAGCAAGCCCACAGACTGCCAGCCAGCAACAGTAATTAAGGTAAGAGGAGCCAACTTGGCTTAGGTATCAGCGAGCTATGTTGTGTTGCTATATTGTGAATAGGAAGAGAGCTGGAGAGACCACCCTCCAGGCCCCATTAGACTCTAGCCTCTGCTAGAAATCCCCTCCATGGCCCATTAGCCCTCAATTGTAGTTTCTACTGGGGCCTGGAGGCTACTGTTTCCAGCAGGAGATATCTAATGGACGCTGAGATGGCCTCTGTTAGAAAGACCCCCTTCCAAGCCTTTTAGACTCCATTGTAGTCTCTAATGGGGCTTGGAGGGGATTCTTTCTAACACACTCTCTAAAGGACACTGAGATAGCCTCCGCTAGAAAGACCGCCCTCCATGGCCCATTAGCCCTCAATTGTAGTCTCTACTGGGACCTCGAAGGGCTTATTGCCCTTTTGTTCCTTGTGTCTAAAGATTGTGTAGGGTGTGGCTGGAGGCGGTGCATGGAGGCGGGACAAGGGTGGCGCTTGCTGCAGAGTATGGGTGGGGCCTGTAAGGGGGCCCTTGATTTATTTTGCCCGAGGGCCCTGAGGTTTCTCAGTCCGCCCCTGCTACAGTCAGATCTATATCTAGGCTATGCAGAACTGCCCCTGTCCTCTCACATGTGAGGACAAGATTTATTATTATTTTAGTTCTGTATATGCTCTATGATTAGCAACTTATTGCTTTGAACTAGCAGAGCAGCCACATTCAGGGTACAGAGACTGTAATTAGGAGCTATTTTTTTTTTAGTTAACCCATTCCAGTCTCTTCTCTATCAAAATGCTCAAAGCACCTGCCTTGCAAAGACTGATCATTGAGCTGCATTGGGAAGCATGTGACTGAACAGTCATATAAAGTCTGGGCGGGGTTAGAAGAGGAGGGCTTGCAAAGGCAGCAGACAAGCAGAGTATATCTACTAAACAGTGATATTTATTTTGTATTTGGGCAATGGAGTGTCCCTTTAAGTTTGAAAATGTCTTTAAATTCTCACTTAAACTTTAGTGAATTACCTTGCCAGTCTACATTTCTATTAAGTAAATTAACAATAAAAAAATAAAAAAAACCACACACCCACAGCGCCCCTGAAAACACACTTCAAGAAGTCCTATCAATGAAATAGCTTTCCCTCCCTACACCTCACTAACACAGCTTGGTTCCTTTCCTGCAACGGTGTCATCTAAAAAACAAAGACATTATTGTAGACTCTCTGGCAACCTATTTTTCACCTATATCTTGCCTCTTGTGTCATTTTACCCCACTTCCCATAAAAAGTAGGCATGTTTCAGCACCGTTTGTTCCTGCATTTCCAACTTGTCTCGTTGCAATTATGTGTTAGTCTACCTATTGTACAGCCCTCTGGAATCGTTGGAGCTTGATAGATAACTGCCAGGCCCATTTATTATGGAATTTACAGAGCTTATAACAATGATTTTCAGGGAAGATGAGGAGTCAATTTGCAGGATAAAAAGTATGGGGACTTCATTTAAATTGTATTTTTTCACACCTCACAAATACAAAATTGTTCAATACAAAGATAAACATTAAAAATCCAGGGAAGTCAGAGAGGTTCCATTGAACAGGGCTGTGGTGATGCATTCTTCATTATTTATTCAGTGTGTGGCAGTAACATAGGATGTGCTAAAGAATCTTTGACAATGAAATGTGTTTTTAATCTTTATTAAAAGTATTCATAGGCTTACCCAGTCCATATCATGAAGTCGGCTTTTTGCTCAGAGTCTTTTATGTTCTGAATTGCTGATAAGATGAGTTGATAAGGAGAATCACAAAGGAAATCTCCAAAAATTCCTGGATTTGATGCATTTGCACCTTTAGATGATAAGCATACTTTGGTATGATCACCAGTGATGTGATATGAAAAGTCTAAATGTAAGTCGGTAACGTGCCAAAACTTTCCTGTACAATACAAAAAAAACTATTACTTTAGAAACATTTTCCAAGCAAACAACAACAACTGCAAACTCAATAAATTATATTTCTGGCATTTGGATGGTACAATATTTAAAACAGATATGAACCATTAACACAGGAGGTATAGACTGTAAGATATACTGCACAATGAATGCGCTATGTTGTAAGCATCAAGGCAGCTAAAGGCATGCCCCTATGCTTTAACTACAGACACTGAGGAAGAAAATTTAAAAATAAAAAAATAAAGGCTTGTTTGAGCAGGACTTTGTGATGTTCATTTTATCTGGTTTTTAATTTTTTATTTTTTTTTAATTTTCCTTTTTCGAAAGGAGGCTGTAACCAAACAATACTGCTGCCCATTAAATCATGTGGTCCTGTCTCCTAAAGCTAAAAAAAAAAAGTTCTTGCAAAATATATACTAGCTACTCACTCTAAAAAGATACTGAAACACATGTTGGGAATTTCCATTTTTCTATCACTCTGGTTTCACTGTCACAATGGTATGTTAGTTTAGGTTCCATTCCTCCAGGTTGCTAGTTGAGGATATTTGGGTTTAGGGGCAAATTGTTTTATTGTTGAAAGGATAGGCAGGACCTGGCCTAGTCTTAAAGATAGTTAAGTAGGCTGTTGGTGATGCATAGCTAAGGTATCTCTAGAGTGATTAGTGGACTGTATATAGGAAACAGGAGCCCATAATATATTTAATGAGCAGTAGTACTGTCATTATGTAAAATTATCTTGTAAGTGAACAAAACACTTAAGAATGAAGTGGAGCACTATAAAAACAATATAATTATCTTGCCCATTGCAATAAAGTGACTATTTCACCAAGTATAGAAAATAAGGCGGATGGTAATGTAAATGCAACAAATCTAAATGCTTTAAAATCCACTCACATTGATTAGAGCCTATATGTGTGTCTCAATCTTATGCACACTTGTGCATTTTTGGCAGCACCACACCTTTCTTTCTGAAGTTCATCCCGGACCTCAAAAGAAAGTGTAAGATACCAAAGGGAGACCAATTGTGTAATGTGAAAAAAAAAAAATGCTGACATAGGTGAGACTACATCATAAGCTCACCTTGTTCAGAGCTCCATATATCCCTGGTTCTGATTTTGAAAAGCATAGTGTCAAATTCTGGGGTGACACTTCCCTAAACAGCAAATTGGAATCGATGTAGATAGACCATAAGAGTGATAATACAATTTTTAGGTTAGGTTTGGGGTTCATCTTAATTTTTTATTTTTTTAGGATTTTCAGGTAAAATCTCAAAAGCATTGGATCTTGATAATCTTTTTAAATTGACTTTTCTGATTAAAAACAAATGCGTAAATTTTTATGTTGTATCCCTTTTTCTTTATACTTTAGTAAAGTGTTACTCTGTTTATAATTGTATATACTGTCATTTGTTTACAGGCTCATTTTGCTATAGTAGTTCTCCTTGCTTTAGCTTAGATGGCAGTATTGCTGCTGGTAAAGTGTAGGCTACACTAATTTTGTGTACACTGGACCACAATAAAAAAAATTTAAAAAATGTTTTAGTAATCAGTGAGCTTATATCATCTCCACAAGATGGATCCTTAACAGTACTCTGTTTATTGAATAATATGCAACATGGTACAAAAAAAAACAAAAACTTTGAGTCAGACTTTTACAACTCCTGCTACACTTCAGACTTTGTTGCTCCTGCTACATCAATAAAAAGTATAATATGTATATATTGTTTAGAGACATGCCAAAGTGATAACAGTTAGCAATATAATTGAACCTTACTTGACCAATTTTTTGAGATTGCCTATTTTGTCCTTAAAGGGACACTCCAGGAAACAAAACAACATCATCTAAATGAAGTTGTTATGGTGGAGGCACTCTTACCTCAAGGGGTTAAGCCGTTTCAACTAGTTTAACCACTATGTAACCTCCAGCGGAGATGTCAACTCTTCTCTGGCAGCATTTGGCTTCAGAATTTTCAGGATAAGGAAGTACTGAGTGAAACCAAGCAGAAGCACCGCAGAGTGGCTGAGAGCAGTTAGTGGACACGCTCAGCCAATCAGTGACTACCCATTTACTAAATTGGCTTGGAAAGCTGCTCCCCTGAGGGGGAGTGGGCATCACCACTGGAGGCTACTAACGGATTAAACCTTTGGAGAATGGTTTAACTCATTCAGGTAATAGGGCCTACAGGGGACTCCTAACACCATAACAACTTGATTTAGATGAAGTTGTTTTGGTGCCTGGAGTGTCCCTTTAACCCCTTAAGGACCAAACCTCTGGAATAAAATGGAATCATGACATGTCACACATGTCATGTGTCCTTAAGGGGTTAAAATATTGGTTTAATACGTTTGGATTTCCTGACAATGCTCACCTTAGGGAATAACCCTGTGTGAGTTTCATGCACATAAAAATGAGCTCCCAGGCCAAAACTGCCATCCCCTACCTGATGAATAATAGTTTATACTGGATTTATCTTATATTGTACATTAGAGAATATGTATTACTGTTTGCAAAGGTTTTTAAAGACTGGTTTAACCCCTTCCAGATGAAAGGCATTCAGTGCCATCCTACAAAAGGGGAGCTTTGACAACAAAGGGAAGAAACATAGAATGTGATGGCAGATAAGAACCATTCGGCCCAAGCATAGCACAACCGAACGATCAGGCCTTTGAACAACAACCTATCAAACCCAAGAAACTTTTAGAAAATCATAAATAGCATACAAACCCCCACAATCCACTCCCAACCCTCCACTGTCAAAATGGACAACCAGACACTGCAACACCCCCTAGATGTAGCAAATGTGTTTAATAATTATTTGATTGGATGTGCTACCACCCTTGTTGCCAAGATAACAAATGACACTCATTTTCAGACCACAAATAAAGATCAGGCCCCGCCAAATCTTCAAAATCCTCATATAGAGAAATTCAGTTTTAGACCTGTGGCTGTTAGTGTCATTAATAAACATTTTAATAATTAAAAAAAAATGAAAAACCAGTGTGGACCAGATCAAATCCCAGCAATGTTGCTGAAGCTTAGCAATTGCTAAACCAGTCACTACCCTTATCAATGAATCCCTGGTGTCAGGATACATACCCAAACTTTAGAAGACTGCAAAAGTAGAACCTATCCATAAAAGTGGTGACAATACTTTGGTATCTAATTATCGCTCAATATCATGGCTCCCAGTATTTTCGAAAATCTTGGAAAAATGCGTCCACACACAACTATGTGAATATTATCAACAATCAAATTATCTGACCCCTGATCAATCAGGATTTCATCCAAATCACTCAACTTCAACTGCCCTCTTAAAAGTTTGCAATGACATCCAAATTGGCATGTAACAAGGAGACTTAACTGGAGCTATTTTACTTGATTTTGCCAAGGCCTTTGACACAGTAGGCATAGGCAACCTTCGGCACTCCAGATATTTTGGACTACACCTCCCATGATGCTTTGCCAGCATTATGGGTGTAAGAGCATTATGGTGGATGTAGTCCACAACATCTGGAGTGCCGAAGGTTGCCTATCCCTGCACTAGACCATGGCATTCATTTGCAAAAATTTTCAGACAGATTGCAATATGTGGCCATTTCTGATAGTGCCTTCCTCCCTCTTCCAGTCACGTGTGGTGTTCCCCAAGGCTCCATACTCTGCCCTCTGCTATTCACATTATTTATAAATGATCTGCCCAATGTCTGCAAATCCTCAACTGTACACATGTATGCCAACGACACTAATCTACACTTCTATGCTAGTAAACCCAATTTAACGCAGCTTGAGGTTGTGCTCCAAACCCAATTCACAGAGATAGAAAAAAATATCAAAAAAAACCACGACGTTTCGACCCTCCTGTAAGAAAATATTTAAAAAAAATTTTAACTTTTTGATTGAAGACCTAGTATGCTCCCTCTCCTTATTTGTTATATATATATATATATATATATATATATATATATATATATATATATATATATATATATATATATATATATACACACACACACACACACACACACACACATACATACATACATACATATACATATACACACACACTACGCAGAATGCACCTAGGCACTTAAGTATTTTGCTTTCAGCAATTTCACAGGAAGGAGGAGTGCCTTGCTATTTGATTTGGATATATATATCTATTTGTGCTCAGAATTTATAATACGTAATGGAATGTAGAAGGAGAAGCAAAGTTGGTTGAGGTGTGCCGAAACCAATGTATGAGTAGGCCTGTAATAAAAAGAGGATTTGAAAAAAACACACTTTATGCAAGTTTATACAGCGTGGATACTGAAAGCTTGAACGGAGCTTTCTCTCTGCTTGAGGCAAGTACGTAACTGAATTGAGGATTACCTGTGACCTTGTCACTTTGTAATGTAGACTGGGGTATAAGAGCTTGAAGCTGCTGATGCAGCGCCAATGCGAAAAAGAGTGACCAGAGAAGGAAGCCATGTTGTAGCTCAACCTTAATGGTAGGGATTTGTCGTGAAAATAATGAATTTAGTCTGATAGTGAGTGGAGTGTCAGGGTATGAGGTTTAAGAAAGGTGCATGGTTAGGACACCTTGTGAGGACCTGGTAAAGGAAGAGATTTCTGGAATAGTGAAACTTTAAGGTGTAGGTTAGAGGAAGAGGCAAAAATTACCATAGTTTTACTGTAAGTCTTGTTTCAAGTAAAGCTCTGCTTGTTAAATAGTTACAATTCCCTGAAGTGATAGAGTAGTTGGGTGAGACTGCGTGGACCGTGAGTACCTGTGCGTTGTGTAATTGTGTGCTTAGTCCAAGATTAGCTTGTGGCTGTGTTTTGGACACCAGGAATGTAAATGCAGACTAGAACTGAGAGGTTGCTGCCAGCCAAATCAGCCTGCGAATCAGCCTCATAATGGTTAGCGAGGATGACTGCCCTTTGTTAAGGATATCGCAAACTGCAGAGTTGTCAGAGCAGCATTTAACTGCCTTGCTGGTCCAAAGATGACCCCATGTGTAGGTGGCTGCCATGATGGGGTAGATCTCAAACACGTGGAAGTCTCTCTAAAGACCGGCAAGGCATCCGTCTCTGTGGGCCAGACATCCCTAAACCAGTGGTTGCCGAAAAATGGCTGTGAACCCTGTGTGTGCTGCTGCGTCTGTGTGAATTGAAGGTGAGTGCTCTGAAAGTGGGGGAATGAACGAAGAGATCCCATTCCAAATCGGCCAAAAATCTACTCCACGTGTGTAGATCTGCCTTGGCTGGATCATCCAGAATGATTAGGCAGGAGTCGGGCACCTCGTGGAGCTAATTAAGTAGCCTAGAGACAAAAGACCCACCCTGCGGAATGATATGCATTGCAAAGTTGAGGGACCACAATAAGGACTGAAGTTCCCTGCTAGTGCACGCAACACTCCGCAGGAACAGAACAATTCCGTTCCTAATGTGGGGCAGTTCGTCTGGTGGTAGGCTGGCTTGGAAGGTAGTGGTGTCCAATACTATGCCCAAGAAAACGAGCCTGGTAGAGGGACCGAGAGTTTGCCTGGTGACAGAGGGACCCCGAGTGTCGTGAAAAAGAGGCAGTGGTGGTGTGAACACAGTTAGGTGTTTGTGAACCTGTTTAAACAACAAAAATTATCCAGTTAGTGGATGACATGGTGTACACCTGAATATATTTAGGAGCAGCCAGCAGAGGGCTTCTGCAAAGATGACTAATAACTTAGGGCTGCTCCTAGAGCAAAACATTAGCCGGGTAGCGAAAAATACTTATACCTCCATTTAACACTGTGCAAGTACCATAATGAAGGGTGAATAGGTAGCAGTTTAAAGGCGTTGGATATGGCTGTCTTGCTCAACCAAGCCTTACTACCTGCTGAAATTATAGCTTGCATGGCATCGTCGATTTGCGTAGTGCATTGAGAACGCCTCAGCGGGAATGAGGGAGTTGATGCTGGGAATGGAGGAAGAGTGTGGTGCTGAAGAGGTCTATGATCAAACGTATTACGTTGTTGGAGTATTGTGAATGTTTACCATGATGGGATTGGTACGCCAAGATGAGAAAAGGTGAAGACGGGAAAGGACCGATCGTAAAACCAGCGTATGATTGCTGTGGACAGAAGGTGGTCCAGCGTAAGTGGGTCAATGGATGCAGATAATAGGTTAGGGCATACGAGTACCTGTGGGGATGGCGATAAGGCCCGTGTGAAACCCCTGTGAGAAACCGGTCACCAGAAAATCTACCAGATGCCTAGCTGAGTGTGCATTCAGATGGAGCAGATGTGCAATGCCCTGCATGCAGTGAAATAGCATACCCCCACATTAAAGTCATTGCGCACACGAGCCCTGCCCAGAAATTAAATGGGTCAGCCCAGCTTGGCCCTCTGCCTGCCTCCCTGTCTAGTGTGTGGGGTGAAGTGTCTGTAACAAAGAAGTGTCTGTAACAAAGTGGGCTAGTGAGATGTATGGAGTAGTGATAGTGGGTGGTGGAGGAGGGGGAGGGGAAATGAGGGGTAAGCCAGACTGTATGACCGAGATCGCCAGGGGAGGGCCTGCCGGGCCTAAGGAGACACCTGGTGTGGCTATAGCCGATTCCACTTTCGCCAGCCTGTTGTTGATCATTTGGAGGTTGGCCAGGATAGCGACCAGGGTCTCCTGAGTGGAATCTGAAGAGTAAGCTGGCGGCCCTTGCGAACTAGAGCTAGTTCTCTAGCCTGATGGGGCTTGTCTCTTAGAATGGTGTAATTGATCGTATGTAGATACTTAACCTTGGGTATTAGACCTATTTCTTTGGGCAATGCGCAGGAAAATTTCAATAAATTCTTGCTTCTGCAGGGATCGGGTCCGGTGAAGATATTCTAAGGGTAATATAGATGCTAGTGGGCCTGAGGCGTGCCACTGGTATGCCAAGTGTAAAAATGTCGAACGTATGGGTATAGTGTAATAATGAAACTGTAACGTAAGAACCAGTGTACGATGAGGGACCTGAACGTTGGTCCGTAAGTAGAGACAATCCCCCTGGGTTCCCACGATTGTGAAATTTAAATGATACGAAGGCAAAGTGAGGTTTTAAGGAGAAACGTAATCATAGTGAGTAAGATTTAACAATACCGGATACTGAAATGCAGGGAACCAGGTAGTCTGTTGGTGGTTGATGCCTTATAACTTGGCAAAACTGCGGTAATGACACAGGTTTGAGTGAAGAAATGTAGAAACAATAGACAAGAAATGTACAGTTAAATAAGTAGTAACAAGGTGGTGTAAGTTTGTGTGATTGATGTTTAAATCGTAGTGAGGAATCTCAGACCTGGCCCGTTTGAAGTTTAGAACCCACTTTGGGAGGTGGGGACGCTGAATGAGGCCTCAAGGGGGAAAAACAGAACTGATAAACCTACTTACCTGATACAGTAATACAGGATACTAGGATACCACTTCTTGAAGTCTGTTTGGAGGAAAGTAGTAGAACCTAAAAACATATGTATTCTAAGTATAAGGAACCAGTATACAAGGTCTTTTAAAGGACTACTATAGTGCCAGGAAAACACTTGTTTTCCTGGCACTATAGTGCCCTGAGGGTGCCCCCACCCTCAGGGACCCCCTCCCGCTGGGCTCTGGGGAGAGGAAGGGGTTAAACTTACCCCTTTCTCCAGCGCCGGGCAGGGAGCTCTCCTCCTCCTCTTCAGCTGAATGCGTGGCAGGACCCGCGCGCGTATTCAGCCAGTCCATAGGAAAGCATTCACAATGCTTTCCTATGGACGCTGGCGTCTTCTCACTGTGAAAATCACAGTGAGAAGCATGCAAGCGCCTCTAGCAGCTGTCAAGAGACAGCCACTGGAGGCTGGATTAGCCCTATTATAAACATATCAGTTTCCCTATGCTATGTTTATAAAAAAAAAAAAAGGGTTAACCGTAGCTGGACCTGGCACCCAGACCACTTCATTAAGCTGAAGTGGTCTGGGTGCCTGTAGTGGTCCTTTAAGGAACAGACGTTTTAAAATCATGCTAATGGTCTGTAATGAGCCTGGTGAAAAAAGGACCGTAAGAGTTTAACCTATGAGCGGAGCGACCTTAGTTGCATAGAAGACTAATACCTTAGGGAAAGGGGAGAGACTGTACAGTAGACCAAGTCCCAGCGGGGTTAAATAATGGTGCCTGAAGGTGTATTTTTTATCGTAACTTATAAAAAGTGATTGTGGCCAAACTGTGCCTTTAAGAAGATTACCCTGTGAAAAATAGGTGTCCCATAATTATATGACCATAGACGGGAATTAGTGAAACATAGAAATTATTATTTAACCAGTGATGACTTTAAGAGACATATAATAAAACACATAAATTCATATAGGATAAGATAATGTGAGTGCTTTCGTTTAAGTGAATGGCATAACTAGGTACATTTACCAGTAGATTGCGAATTTAAACACTGAAGCCTCCTGCGTTCGGCTAAACGAACGAACGAGAGGACTGTAAAGAGAAAAGAACTCCTGCGGTCGGTTAAATTATGCATACAAAAGACTAAATGAAATTCAGTTGTATATGCAGTCAGCTGAACGAACGAACGGGTGAAATAGACGAACGTAAGTCTGTTTAGTGCGGTCGGTAGTTAGATTATATGAAAATACAAATGAAAGGAGTGTGTACTCTGCGGTCGGCTGTTAGCCGCATGAATACAGAAGTTCACGAACAGAGTAAGTAATGAAGGGAGCCTATTTCCGCATTTTTAGGCCAGAACGTGGGAAATAGCTGAATGCTATTTCCCACGTTATGCTTACGTGACCGGAAGCTGTGTAGCAAGTAGCGAAGTCGGTGGACGGGCACGGAAGTCAGAGGCAGGAGCTGCTGGCGACAGACTGCTTGCTGGAGACTTTGGAGGGAACAACGGACCAGAAGTGCTGGTTGCTATGGAGAAGACAAACAGCTGCAGGACAAAGGTAAGTAGGGTGGAAGGTGTTTAAATAGGAATCATAACTCCTCCCACAAATTCAGGCAAAATGGCCTTCCAACACACACACATATACTGTGTGTCTCTTTGTGCCCCTCTGTTTCTTTGTCTCCCCATGGCACCTCTGGGTGTCTCTTTGACCAGCCCTCACCTCCTGTGCCCTTCATTTGTCCCCAATACACTGTATCCTTTTGCCCACTCCCCTCATGCCTTCTTTGCTCCCCCTCCCAACCTGTACCCTTCTTTTGTGTGTGTGTGTCCCCGCCCCCCCTGCCTGTTTTGCAGCCTCACCTCCTTCACTGTAGCATTGGCCGAACAGGCGGTCCACGGAGGAGCCTGTTTGCTGTACCCAGTTTGACACAAAACAATATTTTGCTCTCAGTCATATGTTTGTATATTGTATTTTTTGTAATATTGTATCCAATTGTAACGATACTATGTTTTGTGGACCCAGGAAATACTTGAAAACAAGAGAAATCTCAATGTATCCATCCTGGTAAAATATTTTGTAAATAAATAAATATAGCTCAATTTCGTGGTTTTGTATTGGTCTGAACTTGTACAATTGCCTCCATCCTTAATGGGTTAATGATATGTAGAGATGTCAACAGACAGGTTATGTTGGGAAAATACATCCTGTTAACATATCAATTATTTTCTAAATATAAAATAGTAGGAATAACCAGAACGTCCTTGACGTTCGCTTTTTACTCATGTAATATGAGATTATATATATATATATATTTTTTTTTTTTTTTTTTTGTAAGGTACTGAGCAGGAGGTAGTGAGAATATCTTTAAGCATATGAGAAAATATCCTGCCTAAGCAAACAGGATCTCTTGCCTAGAAGGATCACCATAACCGCCAGTCATGTTCTCAGCTGTTGCTGCCATTTCCTGTACAATATCATTTTAATAAGGTCTAAATCAGTCGGTTTACAGCATATTAAAATACATATATTTACAGAGTGCCAGGATAATGCAGTGTCACTGGTGCATTGCATAGATTACAGTTTTCTGCACATGCTTGTGTGTGAGGTACACATTTCAAATGAATATATAGTATTGTTAGTAACATTATGAACACAGATGGCAAAATTATACAAAAATAAAAGTTATGCCTTGTCTTAAAGTAGCTGCTTGCTGCAAAACAAAATGTTACATTTTGGAAATAATTTGACATATGTCAGCAAATTCTGATAAGGTCTTAACATAAGGGGTGTATTCACTAAACAAAGAAATGGAGAAATGAGAAGGGAATTGAAACATTTAGGTTAAAGTAGCCAAACAGGGAAAGTTAGCTAAAAATTGGAAGTTTGTGTTGTAAATTTGCTTAAAATTCTCCGTGTCAACTAAATTTCCTGTTTAGTGAATAAGCCTCTCATGTTTTCTGCTTGATTCAGTAAAAGGCGGAGTTCAATATCAGTCTTCATTCTGTACTAACCTGTAGCTGCTTGCTTTCGAATATCCCCCTTTGGTTCCACTGGGAGAGCACTGATGACCAATGGGGTAACAAAAAATAACCAGACACAAAGGAGTTCCATCTCTCAGCTCTAGCCGTTGGAAAGAGCTCCCTGACGCCTGACCTTAGTAACTCTGTTCTATATAAACCGCAGGAGGAACGAACTTCCTTGTTTACAAAACTCCGTCTAGCACGTAGCTTCTCAAATTACAGCACAGGTCTGCACCACACTCAGAGCCAGAGTTACTGAGCACATCTTCCACACATTTCCACATTAAATTAAAATGCAGAGCTTGGGGAAAAATGATCAGAGGATGCACAACTGTGAAGCATGTATAAGGGAATATAGTGCCATGTTGTGGTTTTTCACATATCATAAACCAAATCTGGTGGTTTATTATGTCTCTAGAGACTCTCAATAGGTATTTCATTTACACTGGTTACAAAATATTCACTTGCTACCAGGGAGAAATGCAATGCTTTTGGTTGGCTCAAATGCTTAATGTTGAATGGAAGTAGGAGATTAGTTTTAAAAATGGTCACACACAACACAGCCATTGGATGCCAGACATGCTGGCAGCATCTCTGTGCTTCTGGAGGCTTCAGGACTAGCAGGGGCGTACCTAGAGCAATTGTCACCTTGGGTGAATTCATTATTTGGCAAAACTCCCGCAATTTTTTTTAAAATTTTTATTTTTTAATGGTTTCAAGAATTTTATTGCACAGATTTGTAAGTTGTATGTTAGAAAAAGGCAACCGTTAGAGACTACATTAGAGTCTGTGCACTGGAGGGGTCTCTCTAACACTCTGACCCCCATTTGCAAAATACCCAGCCCGAGTTGGCTTTTCTCACCTTAAAGTGGCACGGTCACGCCGAACTTACCTTTTTTCCTATTGTTTCCTCTTCTCTTCCTCTCTCAGAATCTGTTCTTCTTTTCTTCCTTTCTGATTAGTTTTCTGTAAAACATAAGACAAAGAGGTGACTACTTTGTCTTATGTATTTTTTCTATGCTTGACCTTCTTTGAGCGAAGGAGGAGCTTAAGTCCGCTCCATTTCCCACAATACTCACCTCTCATGCCTGTTCTTGTGATGCCTCCTTTCACTATTCCTAAACGTCCTGTCATTAAAACAGGGCACCTGCAAATTCACCAAATTTACGTCCCTACAGTTTGTCGAATAGTGTTAGGACGAAATTCGTGCATTTTATTTGGTTCATGATTTCATTCCAATTAATTAAATTTGATCCATACTGTGACTGCATCTTTAGTTTAGTAGATAGCCCCCTATTCCGACAGTATTAGGGAACTATCTACTAAAACGCTTAAAGACCAAAATTGGTCTTTCAGCCAACTTTACTAATACCAAATAAAAATTACTTACTATTAATAAATAGGGGAGTTTAAATTCTCCCTAATTCCCCATGAGCGACAGGTGACAAAACGCGGGGAACCTACTGGCTCCCATCTGGCCTTGGCCCTCACCCCATGAGCGGTCAACGTGGGACTTGGGTGACAAAAAGGTGGGTGGGACTACGGAACTACTGACTCTGTCCCACCCATGAGCGTTATGTGGGGGACTTTAAGTGACAAAGGGGGGGACCTACTGGCTCCCCCCACCCAGCCACCACCCATGAGCGGTGGTTAATCTCCCTTATGCTGATATGGGGGGTCATGTTGCCAGCTAGCAGACTGCTGTGGCTGGTTGGCTGGCAAGCTGGCTGTGGCTGGCAGACTGGTGTGCCTGGCAGGGCTCTTTTTTCTCCCAGCCTCTTTGTGCATCTGTTTCTTCCCCCAATCACTCTGTGTGTCTCCCCCTCAGCACTTCTGTGTGCCTCTTTGTTGCTCCCAGTCCCTTTGTGTGTCTCTTTCTTCCCCCAGCCCCTTTATGTGTCTATTTTCCCCTTCCCAAGCCCCTCTGTGTATCTTTGTCACCTAGCTCTTCTGTTTGTCTTTGTCCCCACTCAGCCCTCCTGTGTGTCTCTTTGTGCACCTCTCTGTCTCCCCCGCCCTTCTGTGTCTTTGTCTCCCCTCTGTGTGTCTCTTTGACCAGCCCTCACCTCCTGTGCCCTTCATTTGTCCCCACTCCACTCATGTGTCCTTTTGCCCACTCCCCTCATGTCTTCTTTGCTCCCCCTCCCAACCTGTACCCTTCTTTTGTCTTACCCACTCCCTCCCCCTGTTTTGCAGCCTCACCTCCTTCCTTGCAGCATTGGCCAAACAGGCAGTCCACGGAGGAGCCTCTGTTTCCTGTACCCAGTTTGACACAAAACAATATTTTGCTCTCAGTCAGCACTTCCTGCCAAACCTGGTAGAGGATGCAGAAGCTCCTCTACTGTGGTCTGCCTGCTCAGTCATGCTATAGCAAGTGACTGGCAGGAGGGAAGCCCTGTGCACTCCACTCCTGCCGGTCACACTGAGATTGCATCCCAGTGCATCTCAGTCCACCACTGAATGTAACCCCCTAATGAGTGGCACACGTGACAGACTGGCTCTCCCTCCTCATTGTTAGTATGCTACTGAGGAAGCTATGCTAGCTATGGATCTACCATTTGGCCATCCTTGGACAGTTGTGTTTGTGAGCAGTGTTTGTGCATGTGATGGTAAGCATGTCTTTGTATAAAGTATGTTTGCCTATATAGTGGTGTATTTGTATGTACTTTTACCGTTGAAATGCAGTGATGTACTTGTGTTTCGTGAATGCATTTGAATGTAGGCATGTGTGTTTGTATGTAGTATGTTTAGAGTTGGTGTTTGTATCTAATTTTAGCATTTTAATACAGGTTTGTGGTTGTATGTAATGTTTGTATATGCATGCATTTGTGTTTTGATGTAGTGTCTTTTAAATGTGGATGTACATTTGTGTTTAGTATTGGTGTTTAAGTGAAGGGGTGTGTTTGTATATAATTTTGGATTTTGAATTCAGGGGTGTGTTTGCAGGGAATGTGTCTGCATATTGTGTTTGATTGCTGGGATGTATTCACATACATACTAGCACAGATATTCATATACATTGACAGCAGATACACACATATAAACACACTGACACATGCAAACACTTTAATACATACACATAGACACAAGCACACTGGCATACACACATACGGACACATCCACATACACATATATACACACACAAACACAAGTACACATATACAGAGGTACACATACATGGGTGTATTCATTTGCAGCGTTGGAATTGTAATGCCTGGAAGTATGCATAATTACACAAACACTCTGATACACACAAGACACACAGGTACACATGCAGTGGTACATTTGTGTGCAGTGCTGTTGTTGGAATGCAGGGATGTATTTGTATGCAGTGTTAGCTTTGGAATGCAGGGATGTATTTGTATGCAGTGTTAGCGTTGGAATGCAGGGATGTATTTGTGTGCAGTGTTAGCATTGGAATGCAGGGGTGTATTTGTGTCCAGTATTAACAGTGGAATGTGTTTTCGCACATATTGACAGATCTGGACAAAAATTATCACAAACACCAACATGTATTAACATTTCTAAGAGATGTACCCCTGCTTGAATTTGTGAATCCTGATTATTGTGATTAGGTACACTAGTTCCATCTAGTGGACACACATCTAACGATAACTGCAATAGAAACAATTACTAAATTATTTTAATTTACTTTCCATGACTAAAAAGTAAATAGATTTACCGGTACTATAAATTAGTCATGAAAAGTACAATATTTATTAATAGTTTAAAATGTTTCCTTTATTGAATATTCTCAAAATGTTATGCATGTAAAATAGATTAAAAATTCTGATTATAAATGTCAAAAAACAAATTCCAGAATCGCTATCTATCAGGTAAGTAGTAAAGTCTCTATGAAGTGAATAGGCTGACTTTGAAATGATGGTCCATAAGTCCTGATTCTTTATAGTCCAACATACCGTGGGCATCCCTCACTTTAATTTCAATTTACAGATGGCATACTGAAAGAGTGGTAGCATAGTTATGTCAGTCCTATTTGAGCTCACATGTCTAACAGTATATTTTAAAGAGGAGGAGCACATGTACATACTTGGCCAATAATCACATGTGCAGTAAATCCTTCCATGAATGCATCGAGCTGTATTTTATTAACCGGATTTTAAAAAATATTTCAGTAATACATGTATACTTCCTCTACAGAAGATGAATAATTTAATAATAAAATGTCCTAGACAAATCCCTTAAATATTGTATATCCACCACTTTTTCATGTTGCCATACAAAATTTCCAAGTAAGCACATACAATATTTACATACTCTGTTTATTCATTTGGGGCTCAGTTGATGTAGTGCAGCAGTAATTGTACCTGTTGTATATATTTCTGCCAACCTCAAGTAGGGAGGGAGGAGAGGAAGGGGGCTGAGGGGGGGAGAAGAAGAAGGGATGACTGTACTTCTCCAACTTGGTATACAAGTAGATGTCTTGGATAGGCCAAGACATCTACTTGTAGGCCACTTCACGGTCTCTATATTTTTATAGTTTTTGATATATTGAACAAATTTGAATAAATGCTAATAAAAGATATCCAAACTATGTTAATCAGAAAGTTCTATAACAAATGTATGGTATGTAAATCTCAACTGCATCATTTGGCAGTTTCCCATGGTGAACAGGTGGTGTGTTTGGCCCTACATTTGAGGTTCAGTTTGAAATCCTAAAAATTATATCTTTATTAAATACCCAGATTACGATTTTGTGCCCACTAAAACTGCATACATCTCTACTTCACAAATCTCACATCACCCTGTGATTACCAATTCACAAATCAGACAAATAACACAGAGTATGGGTGATTTGCTTGAACAATAGGTATAGTGTAAGAGAACATAAAGCATTTAAGGATCCATCTTTCATCTGCTCAATTGTTCTATAACTTAGACAGGGTGCAATATAATTTTGGATGTTAATACACAGTGATTTTACTTTAAAAAGTGATTTGTGTTTAACTGAAAACAAGAATCCAAAGTTTAGGCCAAAATATAGAAAATTAAATTAGAGGTATTGTGACCTATTTTGATCAGGGTTTCTGCCTGAACTGGAGGCCTGCAGACTCAATGTTCTCTAGGCCT